GGCAGAATTAATAAAGAATAAGCGAGATAATAAAATTATCGACTAATAGTAACCCGACTTAATAGTTAATAGGCCTAGGTTTAGTCTTTAGTGTTCACCGGCGCCGACAAAGTCCGTCTGCTGAATTCCATCGTGCTCCAAGCCCTCTCGCAAGCGAATCGTCCATTCGCGCTGGTGGTTGCTGATTTTGCGCAACACGTCGCTCGAAACGTGTCTTTCGGAGTAAACGTCGTCCAAGATCTCCTGGAAGATCTGACACAAGGCATGGCAAGAGGAATACCTATGATTATTGGTTGCTGCACCACATAGCTGGCTGCTTGCTGGTTTCCTCCCCAGACTGGTGCTGATGTAACCATCCAGAACACGTACCACCTTCCACAGTCTCTGGCGGACGATGCGCTGTTCGATGGGGARAAAATGAATGTGCGATATCGTCGCGGTGAAGTCCTAATACATATGCGGCGCGGGTCGCGAGGCCGGTGTACATGAATGCGGCATCGCGTCGAGCTGCGGTGAGAAGGTACATTGCAATCAACATGTAGGCTTGAATGGCCGTAGTACTTGGCTGCTCGGAGTAGTGGCAGGCTACCAGATAGCGGCCGTACGCGAAGTACTTGTCGGCAAGAGAATCCTTGTCTGTAGGATCCGCCTGTGCAGCGATGGCGAAGATGAGGAAGTAAATGGTGTCCTGATCACGATGCTGCTCATGGCCTGTTGGTGCCGTGGCCCAATGCTCAAGAGATCGTTCCAGGTCCACTTCGTCGAAGAGATCGAGGAAGCTTGTGGTGACCCAGAGGAAGGTCTGGATGAGGTTTCTTGCCTCGTCTAGACTTGGCTTGGGGGGGGTCCCCTTTTGATCAAATATGTCGTCCATTGCGCGGGCCCTTGGGGAGCGGGTTCCGACATGTCATGTTGCAGGCGATCGTTGACGAAATCGCAATCGCCAACCACATTCTGAGCAAGGCTTCGGATATCCTCCAGTAGGGACGAATCGGCGCTATCGCCCAGATAGATCAGCTCGCCAACGGCACTCGTCCGCGTGCGCGACTCGTTGGCGACTTTCGTGTTCCAACTATCCGGAGACCCGGTGTGATGGGTTGGGGACCATGCGCAAGCGGCAGGGAAAGGTGGGGGTACCAGGTCGGGTGGTGGGCTCGCCACTGTTTCCTGGGGTTGGACCTCCTCAGGTGTTGTAGGCTCACTACTTTCGCCGCCCATGGTGGCGTCGATGCTGCTGCTCTGTTGGCTGCCACTTTTACGGCGCCTATGGGTAAGGATAGGACTGCTTGGAGTGGTATGGGTCGAGGACACGTGACATGACCCTGGTACACGGCGCTGTAGACAGCGAGCGCATGGCACCTGGCCGGAGCATCTCTCCTTGCGACGGGCGCAGTTGCCACACGCTCGAAGACATCGTCGACGATCGATCGCTCTCCTTAACGGGCTTGGTGGGCATCGCGCCTCGAATGAAGATAAGGTATTGTAAAACGCTGTCCACTCAATTATGGAACTTGGAAGTGCAGGCTTACCTACCTTACCTATACCTATATAGCTACCGTACCTTCGCCGCCGAATTGCGGGGTTTCTCCGAAGGGAACCGGGACAATCCATCCATACGCCAGCATCCACCAGCTATGCACATGCATAAGGGGAACAATAATGTGGACTGCTAGCTGTCTCCCTCTCGGCCGCTGAACGTCAGTCGAGCTTGACCCCTTCCAATTTTGTCTCCATTGTTCCCCATGCTAGCGCTTGGAACACACCCCTAAAAGGGCATAAATCTCGCTGAAATTAAACTAGAATTTTCTTTGTATCTATACAAGTAAGACCTAATCTTCTAAGTTCTATATTGCGACAAACGTGAAAAGAGGGTGCTACCCAAACCCTAACCCTAGACCACGGAGGAGGGCATAAAAAGGAGGCAGACTGCTAGCCTATGTATCCTCCCAGACCATTTCTCCACGTCGCGGAACGTCACACTTGGCAGTTTGCCGAGACTCTGTACGGTATGGGGTTGCTGCCGAATGGCGGCGGTTGGTTTGGTCAAAACTCCTGTAAATCTCTCGGATGTTGCACTAATGTACTTCGTACAGGATCTAGGCTCCCAGAATCTACGTACTTATATAATCTATGCATAGCCCACCGATTACGAGAAACTGAAAAGGCAAGCAAGCTGTAGGGCTTGTACGAAACCAAACAGATAGCAAGATGAAGGAACAGGGGGTAAACACATCTACAGAGGCACACAACTTGGAATCTCACTTCAACCAATTTGTTCTTTACATGGTGCCTAGTCTAGTAGAGAAGCAGTGCAATTATTTTGCAACCTTGGGTAGGTATCAGTCCAGCAGAGAAGCAGTGTAGCTATTAACCACCTCCTTGGGTATCAAAGACATGTCCATCTTGCTGCAGAGCTGGTACAGCTTTTCCACTTCTTCCTTCCGTGGCGCCGGCATTGGTTGCCGCATCAATGGCGATTCAATCAAGCCTCGAAGCCAACACGCAGTCTTGTATCGAACATGAAGCCGACCAAAGGTTTGGTAAATGTACTCGTGAAGCTCCGCAAGACCATCCTTCCACCAGATTCTACGAGCAAGCTCAATATCCCCCCCTTTCCCATGCGGCAATGTGCTTTACCATCGGCTCAAGAGCATAATTGAAGGACCCGGTGACGGTGCCGTCAAAATGACCCATGGCAAGGTTTTCGTGGAAGAGGACTGCCGTTGCTCCTAGGATGGCGACATGGCGGTCGAGCGATCGGATGCTCCGGCTGATCTTCCGGTTGCCTTCATAGTTGTACACCATCTTCCAACCAACGACTTGAGGATACTTCTCCAAGATCGCCATCGTTGCTTCGACTGGTAGACCAACGCCGTAGGCAGCCGTTGGAGCAGCAGTGGGGTGAATGAGAATTGGCAGGTGAGGAACGGCCTTTGTGACAGCACCAATGCTGCTATCGGCAAAAACTTCCGGGTACCGAACAGGATCCCAAGATGTGGTGATGTCCATGGCACCGATTGGGGGCATCAGGAAGAGACCATCGACTTTGAGATCGGAAGCTTTCCGGGCCATCTCGACAAGTCCCTTTGTCGTGTTGGCAAAGATGCCGGTATACACTGGCAAAGCTCCTTTAACTTCTTCCAAAGTTATCTTCATAACCAAAAGTTGCTCTTCTGGAGTCATGTAGAATACTTCCCCAGCTTCTGGGTTGACGATGAGAGCCAGCCGAGGTGTGCTCTTTTGCTTCTCCAGAAAGTATCTGATGAGATTCCGAAGGCCTTGTTCATCAATCGACTCATCTGCGTGGAGTGGTAAAACCATGGCGATGTAGAGCCGGTCATATTGCTTGGAATCGGATGACGCCATGTTTGCGACTTGGAAACGAACCAGGCGGTTCGGAGGGAACTGGGTACGATATCGCGGGTTGTGACAGGGTGTTGTTTCCTGGGTTTGGAGACTGCGACGCCTGGGTGTTGCAGACGCTTTGAATAGCTCGAAGTCGCCCTTGTGATCCGGATGGAATTCCCGATGGCTCGGAAACAGGGGCATCACGACATCCTTTACCCGAAATCTCGGCCTGCGAGCTTTTCGCATTACCGGATGAGCCATGATGTGATGGATCCTCAAAAGGGTTCCTTGCAGGGTAGCCTGTAATTGGATCACGTTATCCGGGGTTGACAGTCGGCTCCGGATCGGATGTGAGGGATGTTCAACGATATTCCAAGGGTAATAGGGGTCGGGTTTGGACGGACATCACCTTATTACTCTCATGTAATCATGCGTGGGAAATGGCACAATTGTCTTCTCCCACAAGCACACAAATAGGTGGACGTCGCAATGTGATGGAGGCTGGTGATTGGGAATGTTGTCAGTCAATTTGAATTTTCACAAACTCGAAAACTCGATGTACTTCTACAGCATCTTGCCACAACCAAAGGTCTTTCCAAATTCTCGCAGCTATAACAGTCCCTATTAGTCGGGATGGTTTCCTGAGCTAGCTCAAAGCTTGAGCTAGACGGAACGCCGACACAATTCATGTGAACAGAGCGACCTTTCGGCGTGGTACAATGCTAAACATTATCAAAGTTTCTGGGCCCTAGATTTCTTGAGGTACAAGGTTTGGACATTGCAGAATGATTGCAAGCCACTGACTCCGCTCTCTGAGCCCATTCCACTCTGCTTATGGCCAGTAAGGGACGCGAATGGGTTCATTGCAAAGTGTGCATTGACCCATACATACGCTTCCAGCTTGCAGCTGTTGTGCAATTCGATTGGCTTGCCCGAGATCACTACCCCAGACAGAAGCCCCGAGACCATAAAGCGAATCGTTGGCGCGGTCTACAACCTCTTCTTCTGTTTTCCACGAAAAGAGAGGAACTATTGGTCCTGTAGATATCGCAGACAAATCAGCGTTGGGATCATGCGAACAGGTGACCGTTTCTGCTTACCGAATGGCTCCTCGGTTCCAATCTTGGCCCCCTTTTGGTGGCATCTCCACAACTGTTGGACTGATGAAATATCCCTTGTAACTCTCCAAGTCATCGCCGAAAAAGCACTTGAAACCTTTGCTCTTCGACTCGGCCAAGAATTCTCTGACCTTCTCAAGCTGCATCTTGTTCTGGACAGGTCCGATGAAGGCGGTCTCGTCCGCGCGCCGCTACCCACCTTCAAAGATTGAACAAATTTGACGAAGGCGTCTCTGAACTTGGCGTAAATGTCCTCATGAACATAAATAAATTCGCTTAATTGCAAGACAAAGCTGTCCAGAATTCAGAAAAGCAATAGTCGCAATCTGTGGCTTTGTCAGACGTATCTCACGGCCATGGCTGAGACTCAACACAAACTTGTGGAATTATTGCTTCCATGTCAGCACTCGGGCAAACGATGGCTGGGTCCATCCCGCCTCTGTCTTGCGGGTCAGCATTTTCAACGAAATCTTCACCATGGAAGAACTTACAGTTCCAACGTTACTCTTTTCAGTGATTTACTTGCACTGGCCATGACTCTTTTACCTGTTTGCGTTGATCCAGTAAAACTAATCTTGGAGATGCCAGAGTGCGCTGTTAGCCAGGGTCCCAGATCATCGTCGCCACTCAAACATTCATTGCACTACWCCCGGCGGAAAGATCTTTGCCGCGAGCTCGACAAGCTTGAGCCCGCAGTAGGGTGTGAAGGGCGATGGCTTCAGAATCACCACATTGCCGCTCAAGATGGAGAGAGCAATCTTTCCACAGGCAAGATGTATGGGAAAATTCCAAGGGACAATGGCTGCGACAACGCCAAGGGGAACGTATCGAATGATGACCTGTTTCTCATCATCTTCATCCAGGATCTGGTCCTTCAGCTCTAACTTGGCGAGGCCCCGCATCCAATCTACAGCGCTGGCTATCTCGACCTTACTGAACGGAATCTGCAAATGAATAGGTCAGCCTGATACGCACAAAGGAAAATCAAACGACACMGGGGTTATTACAGATTTTCCTTGTTCTTTTGTCAGGAGTTCTGCAAAACTGATCGGACAGGTGCTCCAATGCGTCGGAGAACTCCCCTAGCCGCTGTCGGCGCTCGGCACGTGAAGTGTGGGCCCACTGCTTGAAAGCCACTTGACCAGCCGAAACGGCAGCGTCTACATCTTCCGGTCTTGAAATTGGTACAGGAGGGTTTTGTTCCTCGGTCGCGGGATTTATTCCGCTCCGAGAAAAAGGGGTTGCTTGAAGCTCTCCGTTGACGACGTTGAGGTACGATCCAAACACATCGATTATCGGTGCTGCAGTCATGTTGCAAGTGTGATAAAAGGGGGTGTTCTGTCGGGCAACAGAAGAGACGCACGAGTTGAAAAGTCCTAATCGGGAAGTTTTATAAGGCTAAACAGCTTCGGCCCAGCCGAGCTGTCGGGAGCCGGATCCTATGGCTGATCGGATAGCGGGTGTCCAGGTAATATTGCATGAGCGAATGCAATGCAATACATCAGAAGTTCCAATTCTACTTTACAAGTTGTGCATTCTTCCTATTCGCGACCTTAAATTGGAAACCATCACAGCAATATTCCCTCCTTCATGGGCATTATGGAGACACCAAGCTTCTTGCACGACCAAGTGGACGATGCTGCGAGTCAAGGGATAGGAACAGCGTTTGTGCCCAAGAAATTACGGATTGTGATGGTTGGATGCGGGTGAGTATAGACAATGTGTATGTTGATGCAGAGCTGACGTGGTCAGGGTGGCCGGCATCCAGTTCGCACACGATGTCCAAACAAAGCTGACCAACGTCGAGCTTGACCTATATGACAAGAATTCAGGCCTCGGCGGGACTTGGTACGAGAATAGATACCCAGGGTGAGCAAGTTTAATTGTCCTACTGTTGCCATGCACCGCAGTGAATAACAAACAGTACGATCAGATGTGCATGTGACATTCCCGCTCACACATATCAATACTCGTGGGAGCCTAACCCTCGCTGGTCCAAGTTCTTTGCACCATCTTCCGAGATTCGAACTTATCTTGAGGATGTCACGGACAAACATGAATTGCGTCAGTACATGCACTTCAACCACAAGATTGTTGAAGCAAAGTGGCAGGAAAGCTCAGCCACTTTGGATCTTAGTTATCGAAGATACTACGAGCCCCGGGCCTCCTGAACTCATCAGCAGGGAGTGTGATGTTTTTGTATATGGTGGGGGAGTCCTTAACAATTGGAAATGGCCAGATATCGAGGGACTCGACACTTTCAAGGGCAAGCTCATGCACACAGCTGCTTGGGACGAATCGGTTGACCTTTCCGCAAAGAAAGTTGCTGTGATTGGCAATAGTGCCAGCGCTGTTCAATGTGTTGCAACCATACAACCATGTCAGTAATCATTCCCAGGCTCGACAGATTGAGAGGATTTACTAATGTCGCTCGCATGTGGGTTACAGCTGTCGAGAAATTGTACAACTACATGCGAACGCCTACGTGGATGATCCCACACCTCTTCTCTGATGGAAAGGTTCAGTCCGAATGTTTGTTTTTTTGCATCATTCCCTTAACAGTCGAACATGATGAATGACTGACTTTTTACCACCCAAAGATCCCCCCGAAATGATTGAGCGCTTCGTCAACGACCCGCAATACTATTACGAGTATCGCAAAGATCTTGAGGTGAAACTAGCCACTGGGTTCCGGGCAATGTTCAACGGGTCTCGTTTTCGCCCGATGCTTCGGCAAGCAACGCTCGAACACATGGCGAAGCAGATGCCCGATAAGAAGCTCTTGGCCTTGATGACTCCAGAGTTCGAGCTTGGATGCAGGCGCTACACTCCCGGTGACCACTACCTGAAAGCTCTACAGCAGCCGAACGTTGAGGTGAAGACTTCTTCCATTGTCCGATTCGTGGAGCACGGAATTATTACCCAAGACGCTTGCTCGGACGAAGTTGACGTGATCGTCTGTGCTACGGGTTTTGATACTACGTACAGATCTCGATTCCCAATCATCGGACGAGAGGGTTACGCTCTCAACGAAAATTTTGGCAACCCAGRTCTAACAGAGAGCTACCTGGGCGTATCCGTTGCACGATTCCCCAATTTTTTCCGGTGGGCATTGAAATCGGAATCTCTCCCACCTCTCTGACTTTTCAACCACTGATGGGCGGCACAGGATTCTCGATGCCGAACTTTCCCGTCGTCGGGTCTGCAGTTCCTGGATACGAGATTGCAAGCGATTATATTATTCGTGTCATTGACCGTCTTCAGTGCGACGGCCTCAAATCGGTCTGTATCAAAGAGTCCGCGCAAGTCGAGCTCAACAAATGGGTACAGTCTCGTATGCCCAAGATGGTTTTCAGCGCCGAGTGCAAATCCTGGTGTAAGCAAAATAAAACATGGCCAAAATGAATTGACGTTTGTTCTGTGTGTTAATCAAGAACCGTCTTCACAGGGAAGTTTCCCAACGGCAAAATCGTGGTGCCGTGGCCAGGAACATATCTGCACTATGCTCAAGCTGCGAGGATCGTTAGGTGGGAAGATTATGACCTGGCGTTCAAAGWCCCAGAGCAAAAGTATGCCAGCTTCGGGAATGGTATCTCGAGCGATGGAATCGGTTCTGACAACATTCCGTGGTTGCCTGTACCCTCGTTTATGAATGAGAGTATGAGGTAGCTCGAACTCCATTGTTTAGATCAATTCTTCAACGATACTATCTTTTTGACTCTTGTTCGCATTGACACTAGCGTAGATGACTTTGAAAATACGAGTTATTGGGAGACGAGGGTAGTAAGGCTCTTTGAACCAGAGTGGTGGACAGGAATGCGCACATTATTCACGTACTACGACTCGCAGATACCGGGTGTGATTGCAGATTACATTCTGTGGAGTTGATTCCACCCCTTCAAAAGATCAAGCGACACATACCTATCCAGATTCAGGACTTTGCGCTGAACTTCCGCTCCTCCAAGTCTACCAAAAGWCCCGATTGGACTACAACACCTTTACATACACTGTACAAGGGCTTGTCCGGGTTGTGCAGCTTCATCTCGTACTCTCGAAGGAGATGAGCCACGGACTTGTGCATGGCTAGAAGCGCCAAGTTCTTCCCAATACATGTCCTTGACCCCCCGCCAAAAGTAGAAGAGGGCTCGCTCCATGTTTTTCAGCTGGGATTCGGAGCTCTCGAGCCAGCGCTCGGGGATGAAGGCATCTGGGTCTTGGAAAAAGTCGGGGTGCCGCTGCGATGCCCAGGCGTTGACACCGACCACGGTTCCTTCGGGATAGAATCTTCCGCAGATGGTAGCGCCACCTGGGGGGAACGTGTCTTTCGAGGCACTGCCCAACAGATGGATGAAGGCGCATTCCTTCCTTGATGCAAGCACAAAGGTATGGCAAGTGAGTGGTCACTTCTCGGTATGTTATGTGGTCGCTGAGACTTCCCCGCGGCGTCTGCATCGTCAATTTCTTGACGAGCCTTTCCAAGCTTGACGGGATTGCGCATCAGGTTATCGAATACAGATCTTAGAGAGATGGACTGGGTGTCGGAGCCGGCGAACACATTCGTGGAAAGATGCACCAAAAGATCACTTTTGGACATTTTATTTGGATCTTCCCGGTGGATTGTCAACCAGCGCGCCAGCATATCTTGCCCCTTTGCTTTTGGCTGTCCGACACCGGAAGAACATTTTTCCGTCGCGGTAGTGGTGCTAGATGATGCTGCCAGTCGGGTTTCGATAGCGCGCATCGTGAACTGTAGGACGTGGTTCCGCTGTTCGATCTGAGGGAAGAGCATGCGGAAGTATCGATTCCCGAAAAGTAGATGGTTGAGCTCCGGGATTTGTCCAATAATGTTTCCGTACGACAACTGCCCAATGATGGATGCCAAAACTCCGTCCAAGTCTCTTCCTTCACGGAGGAACCCAAGCTTCTTTGAAAAGGATATCTCGCCCGTCGCATCAAAGGCAAAAAAACTGCATCCACTGTCCTAGATCCACGGTTTCTTTCTTCTCAGTTCTATCTCGCAGCTGGCTCAGTAGTAGCGTGATACATGAATCAATGCGATCCTCCATCTCGAGCACAGAAGTCATGCTGTATGCGTTGGCTACAGTTTTCTTCATATTACGATGGTACACGGGGTCTCGTGCCGAGAACAGGCTGTCCACAGCCTCATTGTCTACCAAGGACTTTTGAACGCTGTAAAACTCAGTCTGTTTCAATGGCGGATTAGATCAGCGACGGGGAACATGATATTCGGCAACCGACCTTCAGGAATGTCGATGTTAAACCATAGATATCTGCTATGGCCGCAGGATGAGCGAATATTACGTGTTTAGGTCCAGTACGGACAACGTCTCCATACTTTCGGTGCAAGTGGATGGCGACAAGATGAGTCTCGCCAGCCCACGCATCATACAATTTCCAGAGCCGAGTATATTTCGCGAAAGCTGGTCCAGGGATCGAGGAAAGGCCGTTCTTGAAACGATTCGATAGTATTCGAAGAAGCAGCAGGCCGAGGAGAATGGAGGCTACAAGTTGCGTAGGAGAAAGAGTGTGCCAAGAGGATAGAGGGATTGATGATAGGATAGTCATGTTGCAAATGCGTGAGAGAAGAATCGCAGACAAAACAGAAATGGCAACAGTGCTGATGGGCGACGAGACATATTAAACCCAACTGTCAAGTTTTCCACATAGTCGATGTGGAAATTGTGCTATTGTCATCGGAAATAGTTCATAGCCGACCGGCAGCTGGGCGCTTGCTACCTACCACCCGCTACCCGAAGCTAGGTTCGAACTGGAACCCTGTCCCCGAAGTGAATACCAAGACATTAGTGGAAGTTCAAGAGTATTCGGATACCAGTGGCAGCTGAAGCCATAAATAGCTCTGTTGAATATCCTACTCACTTCTGGCTAACAGCGACGAGATGGCGACCGACATCAAACTTGGCAAGGTCCACGGCCTCTACGACACTATTAACCCATCTACGAAGCTGCAAAATGCCGCCAAGGGTAAAGTGGTTCTTATAACCGGAGCCGGCCGTGGTAAGTATCCAATGAACATCCCATCTTGGGATTCCGATGATTGAGCGATATAACAGGTATTGGACAGGCGACCGCGATAGCTTTTGCGGCAGCTTCCGTTTCCAGCCTCATCTTATGCGCGCTGGAAGATGCGGAGCTTAAAGAGACCGAAATCTTGGTCGAATCCATATCACAAGACATCAAAATATTCAGCAGAGCGTTGAATGCGTCCGACGATACCGCTGTCTCTAGTTTCGTTGCGGATGCAGCAGCTTGGGCCGGAGGCAACATCGACGTGCTATGTTGCATTGCAGGTGTCAGTCCACCACAACAATCCATTGTTGAGAGTGACCCGGAACGTTGGTGGAAGGGACTGGAAGTCCACCTCAATGGCACTTACCTGTTCGCACATTATGTCTTACCGCTGATGCGAGAAAAGAAACAGGGCCATGTTATCTTTGCTTCTTCATCGATCATACTTGGAAAACACCAAGATGCGTCCAGCTATTCCGTGGGAAAGTTAGGGGTTGCCCACCTGGYCGAGTTGCTACACGAGGAAATGCACGCAGACGGCATCCGCGTGTTTGCCGTCCATCCCGGTGGAATTCTTACTCGACTGCTCACTGACATGGAAAATACCGAGAATGCTGCATGGGCAGTCAAGGCATCGAAGATCATCCGACCTATGTTGAACGACGACATCACACTTCCAGGCAATAGTTGCGTCTTTCTGAGCACTGGGAAACTAGACTTTATGAGCGGTAGATTTGTTGATTTCACTGTTGGCATGGACCAGCTGCTGCAGAACCAGGACGCTATTGAGCAGAATAATCTGTTCAAGATCAATATCAGTGCCAACTGGAACTTGACGGGCGGCGCTCGACCTTTTTATTGATTTGAAATGAAGAATGTATGTGAGCAGCGAATGACACAAGCAACAAATCCAATTACCTTGCCAATCAATCAATCTCAAGCTCTTTGACGGCTTTCGATTCCGTGCTGCTTCCTCCGACAGGAAGGATAGCAAGGCCAGCGGGGTTACAGAAACGTGGAACTTTCCGCTGGTGGATCCGATGACATCGAGGAGGAGACCTTCAGCGGACTCTCTTAACTGCCTTGGCCGGAAAGCGTGTATGGGTCAGCAGCCTTGTTATCCAAAGACGAAAACGGCATTGCTAGATCACTCAATCCAAGTGACCGCAGATAGCTTCGTTACCAGGAGCATCGCTGCTTAGAAGTTCGACGAATATCTACAAGACTCCGACACAGACACGGACAATGCTTCTCTTCCACGCTCCCGTAGATGGATATGGGTTTGCAAGCTTCAGCAGTGCCCAAAGCATGGTACCGGGTGGACAAGCAAGACAAACTTCCTGCTCCACTTGTTTGAAAGCGCGGTTCATCAAGACGACGATTTGATGAAGAGTCGGACTGGCAGGCGCCAGATCTGCGAACAATGGAGAGAAGAAAGGGCTTTTGACTTGAGCGATATGCCGCGAGGATTTCACTGGGCGTCAACGCAATCGATCGATCTTTCTGATTATTCAGAGACGGCCCATGATCAGAATAGCCAGCGCAGAGATGAAGCAAACGGTCGTTGATTGATGTGAAGGGCGGGGATGCTTGTACTGGCTGCATATGAATTTTCTATACGATTTTGTGATGGCGGCGAGTCCGACTTGTCTATGAGTGGTAGATACATTTCTTTTCAAATTCCTACTGTAGCATGCTAATAGTCCGACCTGTTTGGCATTTGTTTGTTAAACGACATCGACCTTGCTTTGTTGCACACAATCTCCGCGACAGAGGTTCGAATGCAAATAGATTGTTGATAGTTCTAGGCGTCAGCCTTCTCTAGCTCTTTATCTATCATATCAAGTCTCTTTCCATAACTATTACCTTCGCTAACGGAAACCACTCCATATTAGTAGCTTACGTACAAATCGTAAAGCAAGGCCCTGGAAGCTATCGTTGCCGAGCTAAGAGAAAAGGGCTTCGCCTCCGTGGTCTAGCTAACTATAGGATTGTATTATGTTCACGACCTGTCTACCTCCTAGCTTATGGTATTCAAGCAAAATGTAGGGACGCATAAGATACAAGGGTCCTCGTTAGCGTGTCGGCATGTGACGCCAAGGCCCGTGCTTTCCAGAGTTTTTGTCTCGACAACTTAAGCTTCAAGCTTCGATCCTCGTCATCGAAACAACAGACAACAATCACAAGTCTTCTCAACACCACTAATTGAGCGCTTCAAAACAACAGACAACAACCGCAAGGCTTCTCAATCGACCACCAATCGAACGCTTCTCTGCGTTGCACGTTTCTGCTTCCTAATCAACATCTACCCGGCTGCTATCTGACAACACGAGTCGACACGCATCCGCGCGCCACATTCAGTCAATCGAAAGCCTCAACTTGAGTCGAGTCACCGCCAAGATCGCTCATTTCATCTCATCATACAGTCAATCACCCACTTCCACCCAGCGATCATGGCTCTCAAAATTGACTTCAAGACTCTCGACTCTCGGATCCAATACCTCGCCCAGGAACTCCAAGACATGATCCTCGACTCTTTGCTATCGATGCCACTTCAAGCCAACACCGCCACCATCAACGGCTCCTACAAACCCCCCCTCGCACTCCACCTGTCCCAGAACCTGCGCGCCGAATTCGCCCCGAAATTCTACGGAGGCGTCGCCTTCGACGTGGAAGCACCACTTGAACCCACGTGGGAAGGCGGCATTGAGACGAATAATTTCAAGTTCTGGGTAGACGGCCTCGATCCCGCGCATCGTTCCCTTCTTAAGACTGTCAAATTTACACTTTCATACGCAGTTGGCCTGAGAGGTGAGGAACATGTCAGCGCCGGCTACCTGCGCCACGAATTGGATTTCGGACCTCGAATGTGTTGGTCTCCCGCCAAGATTCGAAGGTGGAAATTGCCCCATGTGATGATCCTACTCAACTTCATGGTACGCGCTGGGGATGGGGTTATGTGGGAAGAGAAGACTGTTGCTGTGAAGGGAGGGCAGGATTTCGATGAGGATGATCCGAATGCTGTGGTAAGTAAAGCTCTTCTTTTGGTCTTTTCCATGATGACCGGGAAGGTTGGTTCTCACTGACTTTGTTCTCTCATAGCTGATGATGGAAACGGTGTCAACTCGTACGATCGCGCAGGATGTCGCGCAGGAGATCGAGGAGGATCTCAAGGAGAGAACGAAGCCTTCGAGGGCGAGGTGGGACGTGATATTCAAAAACWCATAGACAGCACCATCCTTTGTGTTCCCTGTCTGAGTTACGTCGAGCGCTATGACCTCTGCCTCATCAAGCCTCGMATCGATATATCCCATTTCCGTAGAAATGAAAATTTTTCAGGCATCGCTTCGAGCTTATCATTCCTTCTCATTGAACAAGTAGTAGGTAGAATAAGTCCCCGTAGAACTACCGACATACTGCTATGACTTCCTAGTCGACAGACGACAGAGCTGTCAATGTGGCTTTCTCCAAAAAGGCGAGCTCCTTCACAAGGTCACCCCGTAGTCCAGCGGGCGATTCTAATGATAAGGACTCATGGAGAGGTCTCCATTACCTTCAACCGCGGAGACAATGCCGAGAGAGAAATCTCAATAACAGTGCGATGGGACTATTAAGCCTTTCGATCTGTTAGAAAACCCTCAAACTGAATAGCTATGATGACCAGAGTATTTCATAGAAGCTCCTAGCTTTCCTTATCTGTGCATGCCTTATCCTCTTTTCTCAGTCCGAGTGTTCGTTAAATGTAACCGCTCATTGAAACGTTCTTTGGATCGTTGCAGTTTATAATAGCTGGCTTCAACGCCAGAGATGAAACGTTCCCACTCCTTCAAAGTGCTCTGACTTCTGACGTCTCGATTCCGTAGCGACATGGTAACTCACGAGCTCGATTCCCAGGACCAGAGGTCTTCCTATCCTCCCTTAGGAGCTTTAAGTATGTTTAAGCTTGTCGTGAAGGAGTGCCGAGAACTAATTAATTCACCGTAGAACGCGATCTTGAGATTTAAAATTCCGGCCCTTGAAAATACCATCCYAATCTACCCAAACGTAGGGTTACGCACGAGGGACACGCCTATCGCCGCCGGAATGGAGTATCTGCGCTCCAAAGAAGCTAGTGTACGCTCAGACGAAAGTCCGCGTCCTAAGAGCGACGAGAACCGTTAAGAGTGTACTGGCCGAAGCTTCTAGAACATTGCAACTGGATGTCGGAGGTCATCATGACTCAACTCATGGTATCTGAAATGGACTCTGAAGTGCTACACACATCTATCCGTTTTTGGCGTCGGGATGGAGACGGCGTGCGGTTTGGTGTGCTGTACCGCGGAGATCGAAGTCTTTTTGTGGTTGATTAGATGTTACGGCAGAAGRGCGTGGAACTCCTCAAGGCAGAGCTTCATTTGTAGAGGTGGRGCTGGCTGGGACTTGAGCATGGTCTATCTCCTACTCAGATCGTTGAACGCGCTAGTTCCTTAGCTCCGCAGAGGCATCCTGCCTGCCCTACGAATGTAGATATAGGCAGGCGCAAGTCTCGGAAGGCGCGCATGAGAAGGAGGTAGAGCATGGTATGGCCTTTGCGAAGGGTCATTGATTGTATGATGTCACATCACGCCCATTAACATTCAGGCCATCTCATCCGTGTCTGCATATAATACCTACCGCTCGCTGTCCACTCACAGGCAACATCCAGTATTTGTTGGTGGAATTTTCGATCTGGATCACATGAAAGCTTGGCAAAGCGGGCACTAAGCCGGACTCTGACCTCTTGTTTGTTACCTACTCCACAAGCCCCACGTCTCCAAACTTTGTCCTTGCGCGCGCCACGACAACTTCCTCWCATCTTCGAAACTCCCGCGAGTGTCTAGCCATTGAGTCTGGCCAACATGACGAATCAGCTCCGCACCATGGGCGTCCCGCCATCCAAGAAGAGCTTCAGGGCTACCATGCGCGCGCAAATCAACAGCAAATCCGCCCGCAAAGTCATCAAAAAGTTGCTCGACGTCGGTCCACTACACAGGGTGTTTCTCGGCCACTCCAACTGGGTGCAAGCAAACGAGGACAAAAGGCTCGACAGAAACATCTCGGCCCTTCCACAAGAACTTCAAGACATGGTTCTGGACTTCACTCTTGCCGCTGCACTGCCCGAGAAGAAAACCATCTGCATCGTCGATGGTCACTATCATCTGGACGCAACCACACAAGATGATCCAGCCGGTGTTGTCCTGATCAGTCCTGCATATCCATTGTACAAGCCGCCGACTGCCCTTCACATCAACCGTAAGATCCGCGCGAGGTTTGCTGAGTCATACTACGCCGACACCACGTTTTTCATCCCTGAAACTCTTACCCTGCGACGGCCGTATTATGTAGAGGGACCCGCATACATCTCATTCAAGAAATTCGTGACTTCACTCACTCTGGAGCATCGACGGATGATTGGGACTGTCAAGCATACYCTCGAAGAGCCCGCCTACACCAAAGATGACAGTTTCTTCGTCAGGCCATTTTCGCTTGAATATTTCGCGAGTGCGATGGTTTTGAACGCAACAGGGATCTTACCGCAATACCCACGACTGCAAAATCGTCTCTGGGACGTGGCCCTGACTAAATTTGCATTGTTGGGGATCAAGAAACTGGATGGTCAAAAGYAGATGGTGTGGCACCGGTTGGATGGGACGATCGTGCCGTGACCTATGTGCGACATATGGGTGTTGTTCTATGATGAGGGAAGGCGTTTTGAACGGCAATGCGAAGACTGATGGAGTCATGTGGAGCGCGAACTTTGCAGCTAGATCTGAAGGGAGATCATAAGACTTCGCCTCTTTCCGGCTCAGTCAAGATGTCTTTCTTCCCTTTACGTGCATCCGTTCATACCGCTACAGGAGTCAGACCAGCGCATGTCAGTCAGCGTGGATCTCCGCGTAGCTGTTAGAAGCTCGGCGAGAGATACCCTTCGATCTAACTTGAAAAGACTTCACCGAAATGCTACTTCGGAGGATCCAAAAGCGGTTTGAACTGTCTTTCTCGACATGTGGACTTGACATGGACAGTTGCGAAGTGTCGGACGTAGCGAGATCCTGCGCGGGAGAGAACTGTAGTCACCCTGAAGGGTACTGGACAGGACCCGCAGCTTCCAATAGATGTAGAGGAAGGAGTGGTGGAGCAACTGCGTGTATTACAGTGGACCTTACTTCATYGAGAACTCTGTGCATTACATCAACAACACGCTTTATCCACCATCCACAACTTTTCTCATTCTGATATGCTCTACGATTACTAATAGATACTCCATCGCATTGACCAAAGTACAGCCCCAGTCGTGCATACAGGAATCTGAGCGGGAAGTCCGATCCAATCTGCGTGAATTGTCGACAGAATGGATTGCGTACATTGCATGAAGACCACCCTGTCACTTTAGCGTTTTTCCTGTATACGGGCCACACTCTGTAAAAGCATGATGAGAACCATGCGAGTGGTGTACCTTATTTTGCCTATTTGGGAAGGGCGGGGTTCGATACGAAGCGAGGCTAAAGTATTCGTCCCCCCGCACGTTAGCTTTATCTTATGTACCACCAACTTCCTCCAGCAAAAGTTGGAAGACATCACAGAGCGAAATGAGTCCAGTACGATTGGCATCTAGAAGACTGCGTGTGACCGTCCGTACCAATGGCTTCTCCGTACATCGTACCTTTGCTACCACAGCCATCAACCGCAGCAATATCCAGGAGTTAAGCATAGCAGACCGCATGAGCATGAAAGGCAAAACAGTACTCGTAACAGGCGGAGGCCGTGGAATTGGATTCGCAATCACAAAAGCCATCGCCCAAATGGGAGGCAATGTTGCCGTAATCGACAATCTTCCAGAACCAGTTGAAGAATTCCACACTCTAGCGAAAAGATTCGGAACCACCGCCACCTATCATCTCGGCGATGTCACAAACCAGACGTCTCTAGAATCTGCATTCAACGAAGCAGTGACCTCTGCCGGCGAAATCCACGGCTGTGTAGCTGCAGCCGGAATCGTAATAGACAAACCCTTCTTCAATCACCAATGGGAAGAAAGCCAGAAGATCCTAGCAGTCAACACAATGGGAACATTCTGGACCGTGAAACTTGCAGCCCAACACATGGCCCAACATAAAAAAGGTGGATCCCTAGTCATGATAGCAAGCATTGCAGCCCAAGGCACCAAAATCCCCCAGCAGAATGTTTCAATCTACAACATGAGCAAAGCTGCTGTAAAAGGACTTGCAGGTCCTTTGGCTGTTGAGATTGCCCCGCATAAGATTCGTGTCAATACTATAAGTCCGGGGGTGATTCTTTCGCCTATGACGAATGCTTTGAAGGTGGATTATCCGGAGTTACTGCATATATTTGAGAATGCTGCGCCGGCGCTGAGGATTGGTGTTCCTGAGGTATGCTGATTGATATAGATTTGAGAGGATGAACTGACATTCAAAAGGACTTGACGCCTGCGGTTGTATATCTTTTGAGTGACGCCGCTTCGTTCACAACGGGAACTGACATTGTCATATCTGGTGGGATTCATGCTGGGACTTCCATGGAATGGACGAAGCGATCGATGGTATAAGAAGTTTGTGGCGGAAAGTTGGGAGTGGTGCATGCGAACCGAATTTATACATTGGTGTTTCCTGTTTGACCTATTGGAAAGTCAGATTAGATCATACACCCTTGAACTCCCATCAAATAGAGCCATGAAATTTTTCCCTAAGTGCACATCATCAATCATGCTTTGTCACATCTCCCCAGTCCTCGAATCCGGCATCCTCTCCATCTCTGTCCAGAAGGTACTTAAACCGCATGTTGAGTCTATTCTGACTGAGAATGAATTCTGGAACATCTTCGTTGTTCTCGACCTTGTCGTAGATCTCATTAGGTCGACCAAAGAGATCCTTGCCATTTCGAACACGGTCAATCATAGTTTGGGCATCCCGATTTGCTTCAGTGTTCAAGCCTGCATGGGAGAAGCTCGCCATWTTGGTCCGCATCTCAGCCACAGTTGCGAAGCAGCTAGAGCAATGCCACCCAGCATTCCAAAGGGTAGCTCTACTACGCCATCTTCGAAAAGAGGCGATAGGAGCCCAGCCGCCATCCATCAATCCCTGTCGTAGATCATTTGGTAGGAGAGTATCGGGACCTTGGTATGTCGTAACATCTGGATGCGTCCATTGRGGTCCTCTATGCTTCCACTGGAAAGAGTAGTAGTAGAACTCGGTCCGAAGGGTAAGCCTTGCGGGGATGTCACAATATCTTAGAAGCTGCATGGCACCAGGTCTGATGACCTCATCCATATCGCTCACGATCAGAACATCTCCGTGTTGCGCTTCATATCGTGTTCCGACCAGTCCAGGGAAGACTTCGGTAAACATCGAATTCCGGAACCAATCTTCATGATCCCAGATTCGATCGCTGTGGACTGGATCATGGACAATTCGGTGGATGATCTTGTGGTGGAAGTCCCTGAAGTTGTCCCAATTTTCCTGCAGATACAACGGCTTCTGCTTACTGGTGAAGGTTGTAGGAGCCTCCACAACAATGAAGTAGTCCACAAAAGGGGACAAGGTTCGCAGTCTTATCTCGAGCCAGTCGAGTTCGGTGGAAAGGAGGATCAGATCATAGACCTTTCTGTTCTCATCCTTGTAGAAAGAGAACCCATGCTGTTTACAAATTGAACGAGCTTCATTTATTCCCAGACGAGCGTCATCATCTTGTGAGAGGTCCGCGGAGTAGTTGACCAAGTCGGCGGAGAGATAGTGGTCCTTACTTCCAGTCCAGAATCGCAGGAAAAGAGCTAAAAGAACGACGGCAGCCAGGCCTTGAAGGATAGTCTTTTGATTGCGAGAGAGACTCCGATTCATCAGCTGCATCGCTGCAGCTCAGAGCATGTGCTGTTCAAAACAGCATCAGGGATGAAAGTGTCAAGAGTCTCTCCGCGGGAAATCCTGGTTGCGCCACGTCGCGTTCTAAAAGCGGATACGCTAAGATCGGACCAATAGGCAGCTTCCGATCCAGACCCCCTTTCCAACTGCCGAGTTCCGCTGCAGGTACTCTATCGCAGACAATGACATCAAGTCTACATTATACCAACCCGTGCCAGCCTCTACGTGGACAGAACAGCATCAATATCTGTGGTCTCTTTATCACTCGATGCCGAGAAGACACTGAGGCAGCAGCTCACGTAGGGACGCCATGTACAACAGTCAGGTATCGAGCAGACTTGTCCGTCATATCCAGGAGAGCTCGCTTCATATGGGCTATCGTATTATTTGGAGCGCTATCTAAGTCTCAATGTCGACCTCACCTCTTGCTAATGAGCTCAGCAAAAGACCGCTGACCCTGCCACGACAGTTCCGACACATCCTCTTGCTAGTCGTATTATTAGAGACCACATAAGACATCATTTATCCGAATGATTCGAGTATGTCACTTCGCTTCTACCGCAGTGCTGGTATTTCGCTGTTCTGTCGGGAGCATTTCACTGGTTCCGAATCGGGCAATATGAAAGGCATAGCCGATACGAAGATTAAGCATCGTGTACATACGCCCGTAGTGTCAAACATCGTCAACAAACACCACTTGGGAAGTCGGTCTCACATACGCTTGTTGCACACCCTCGATTTCCTCACCACCAGAGGGCCTACCCAAGGTTGGGATTTCCCGAGATGTACAGGAGATAACATTGATATACTTACGGATTTGAACAAGGTCTAGAATTGAAAGACAAAAAGATTTCTAAGTTAGGATGTATCAGACTCGCAGCGTTGGCTGTAGCAGTACATCGCTTGTCTTTCTCCCGGATCTCTAATGTCCCTTTCATCTCGCAGCACACATCCCTTTCGCCGGGCTACCTTGAGCTCCACCTCTTTGCTTCCATATGAAGTCGCGGAGCTCTCCTAGAAGAAGGAGGAGACGAGAGCTAGGCGCGCGCTGCGCGTTTGTCGAGCGCGATATGACTGTGGGACGATCAATGGGGTGGTATGGTGTTGATGTTATGATTACGCATAATGCTGATGAATTTGAGGTGATGTATTGCCTGGTGTCAGATTGTTGATGATTTTGTTCCATGGCCGTGGGGTGAAGCCCAGGAGTCGGATGTACCACTAGTGCGACTGCCAAGCTCGTCTTCATTCACTCGATCTTACGCAAGTGTAGACTGTATTTGTGTCTTTATCAGCCGTCTAACTTTTGAATCAATCATTTAATCCGTAGGGACTTCCCTGTAGGTCCCAGCTAGACGGTACATCGTTGTTGCCGTGTTCTAAAATTAGGCCTGGAAGTCAGAGAAGGAGCGCCTGAGAAGGAGGTAGTGCCGGCTGAATGAGACCTGCACTTTCCGACTCCAGAGATACGCTACTGAGCATACCGACATGTTCAGCAAGCAATACACTGAGTTTATTACTACCATGTTCTCGATTTGACTGATCCAAAGTTGAGAGCCCGGTACCGCGACCTGTCTTGTCACGCCTCGAGAAACACTTGGCGACCCCAAGTCTGCGGAACAAAAAGGGCCGTAGTGCTCCCTTCAAGAACATCAGCTTGCATCTCTACATTCGTGATCACCGTCGGTCAAAGAACGGCACCAAGCCGCCATGTCTGCCACTATCAATCCGCAGAAACTCGACGGAGAGCCTATGACACTTCTCCGTCTACCGCAAGAGCTTTTAGACATGATCATTGAGGTCAATACCAAACACCAGGTCCCTTCCCAACAAACAGCACTAACCGTCTTCCCAGGCCACCTTCAAAGACACGACCGTTACTCTCAACAGGGACAATCTGCGCCCTCGCTCCCCAGACGACCTCGTCTCAGAGCGGAATGCTGGCCTTCTCCTTACATGCAAGACTCTTTACAAGCATGCCAAAGAACCATACTACAAGCTTTCCAAATTCGAAGCACTCGCAGCTACCGATCTCCGCCACTGGCTTGCGACTCTGAAGCGGAATGGTGTTGCAGAGCGTAGCCTCATCACAAGTCTTGACTGTTCCTTCTCTTCGGCCTTGGAAGCGCATTTCGATGGGTGGCCTTTCTGTATTAGGTTCCACCAGATCAAAGACCACAGCAAGCTTATGTGCCTCCTGATGGAGACGCAGGATTATTTGGACAAGCTTACCCAGCGTTTGATGGCGGAAGACTACGATGTTGGCTTGGATGCTTTGCGAGGCAGTGCTGAGTATCTGGGCTATGGGATACGGGATGTGATTCCGACGCAGATGTCGATAACGTGGTAGCTTTTCGTGATGGTAAATGTGCGATCAAGGCTTGGCTCGCGGGAGGGAGTTTGCGAATGACTATGTGGAACCGCTGGAACTGCGGCAAAGTATGATCAGTCGAAGTCAGGGAGAGATGGGATAGGACTTACGAGGTGGGTTTCAGAATCCGGTTCATCACATAGACGTGGATAGTACTTAATCTCTACCGTTTTCTTCAATCTTTCACCCGCCACGTGGTAACTCCAAATCCCACACCCTGTTTGATCCGGAGAAGGTAGAAGATGATCAGTCATCCCATTCCGCAAGCATCCGTCAATTGTCGAGGGCTACACTTAATCTTCGCTCCCGTATCCCAGCTTGACTCTCCACCGACAACAACAACAACACCACCACCATCAAAATCATGACATCTAATCCACCCGCTGCTCCAACGTTGCTCACGATTCCTACCGAGTTACGCCTGATGATTTTCGAGTTCACTTTCAGCAACACCATCGTCGACATCAGCCGCTGCTACAGAACCAACGCCAACTCCGGCCGAATCGAACATAGCGAACGGATCGAAAACACCGTCGTGGGATGTAACGCAGKCCTCCTCCTCACCTGCAAGGTCTTGAACAAAGAAGCCACCAAGCCATACTTCCGCCACTCAATTTTCCACGCGCGCGATAGTGAAGACATCACAGCGTGGCTGGATAATCTGCGAGCGCACAACAAGATCAGCAATGCGCATTTCGTCAGAGAGATCCAGTGTGGTGGACTGATGCTGTATCGGAGCTTTATTTGGGGCTTGTATTATATCCCGGGCGACTTTATCATACTTGATCATTGTTGGATCTCTCAGATGACCACCAAGAGACTATGTGTTGCTATCCACAAGGGAAAAATCCAGTTCGAGTGGGATAAGCCTGATTTCTCCTTTCAGGATTACGGGATTCATGACGGGGTGCTGAGAGGTGCTACTGTTGAGGAGACTGGCCGAGAGGAGAAGTGGGAACTCGCCGGCCAGAGGTCTCTGGTGGAGCTGAGAGTTGGGAGAGGAACCTGGATTCACGGACGATAAACGATCATCGCCACCTGTTACGAATTATCTCTTAGCGGACTTGGCACATGCTTGATCTGACCAAGTACCTGCTGGAGTGGTGTTGATGGGACCAGAGATCGAAGCGCCGCACTCAAAGAGAAAAAGAGAGAGGTTGTTGTGGATGGTGGATAATGTGTGCATGTTGATGTAATGTACAGAGTTCACAATGAAGTAAGATCCACCGTAACACACGCAGTTGCTCCACCACTCCTTCCTCTCAAAGATTTCGGCAAGAACCACATTTTGAACTGCGCACTACCTTATGCGCGACTTCCCGAGTTATGAGCGCCGATACGAAGCCAAGCTGAGATATGAACCGAGGGCATGAATTGAGCAAATAAATCCGAGGCGTACGTAATTAGCATCAACATTATCAAAATCAGCGAGGCTTGTCACTCACACACCCTCCTTCTCACTCTTTCCGCCCTCCATCCCATGTAGCGATACCCAACTACAAATTCGTTCCCAAAATCTAATTCCAGAAACCTGCAACACTCGTAGCCCATGGTAATATTGCTCAAGTTGCATTCCTTTTCACTCCAGAAATACAACATCACATCCGATGACTTTTGGCTTTTGCTTCAGCTCATATGCCAAAGATGATCCGCGCAAAGTATCTTGAAGTCCAGCACCCGCCATCGATGCATTCCTTGTCCACATATATCTCCATTCTAAACTTCCGGAGTCCAGTGATGAGACATCCTTGCACGACCAAGCCCGATAAAAGAGAGCACCAGAACCCCATTCAAGCCGGTCTCCCTCTGAGTCTCATCGTGAGCATGATCAACGGTCTCATCCTTCCCGATTCGCTCAACTTGCATAGGAATACCACTACGGTGCCCATGTATATATCTAGAGATCCGAGAAGGGATCCCGCAAGCTTCTTTATAGTCTGCTCGGTGTGCGTGTAAGAATCGCGGGTAGCTGGCGAGTATTGCAGTCTCGTACAAGAATATACGTTCCCCTCTCACGATCGCGAAGGGCGCTCGTGCAGAGGCGCTCATCCGCAACTAAGTTGACGAGGCCGACGGGCGAATCTTCTTGTGGTAGCGAGTCTCCACGGCCTGAACAGTCCGTCCACCTCCCACTAGAGTGGCGATTGATTTCCAGTCCATTTTGAGCACTTCTCTGGCATGTACCAGCACTCGAGTCTCTTYAGCAGTCCAAGGCTTACGTTCTGACAGCTCGCCCGGTGACCAAGTCGGATTTTCCACCAAATTGTAGGATCGCCTCACATTAAACGGTGTCCTTTGCAGCGACACTCCTATCTCTTTCCAGRACATTCCTTCGCTGAGCATGGATTTAATACTCAAAAACTCTGCATCGGTCAGACGCCGATCCGGTTGTATGTATTCTGCTCTCGGAACCCCCCTGCGGASCATCTCAGCCGCAAACTTTTGCTGCACAGCTTGCGGCTCTCGTCCGATTGCTGTTGCAATTGTGCGAAACGTTTTACCTGCTTGCCGTTCCCTGACCAGATATTGCGTTTCCGTGGTTGAGAATGGACGACTGTGAAAGCGCGTTAGCACATGGATAGCCGGTGGCGTCCTCGACAGAGAAGAGATTGTTTGCAGTTCAATCTTTTGTCCAATATGTAGAATCTTGACCACCAGAAACATACCTTTCTCTTCGAACGTAAATTTGCGAAGACTTGCGCGGTCGTTGTAGACTCCTGTAGCGCTGAGCTATGGAAGCGACAGTGCGCCCCATGACAGCAGCAATTTGATGATAATACCTTCCTTGCTTCCGTTGTTGGAAAATGAAGTCATCGTCTTCTTTCGAGTACGGCTTGCGCTGTCGCTTGCTTCCGCTGCAAACACACCTTGATGTCTCTTTCAGATCTACGGTCTTGGTATCTGTATGAGAAAGCCGGCGATAATGCTGCATGCAATTCATCGCCAGTCGAGGGCGGTGTGCCCAGCATGTCCAGCTTGTTCGCATGATGACGTTGCGTCTTCTGGGATGAAGACTCATCCGAGCCATCGACACAGATGCCGTCGAAAAGGTTCGGGCACCTTTGGGATGATCGGGGTGCTGCACATCCGAGCTGGTCTTCGTCGCGGCGTGTCGGTCGCGAAGAAGGTAGTGGTGCTGTCRTAATATCGTGCAGGATCTGTGAGGCATAGCTGCCGCCACATTTTTCCATGGAAGCTTGCGTATTGTACGCAGCTCCCATAGCTGCCGATCCTCCTCGAGCGTGAAGCTCCTCCTCGGAAGGAGCGATCTGCCCAGCTCCAGTTTCAGATCGCCATATCGTGATGCCAAGGCTGGTACAGACCGGCCCGGTATGTGATTTGCTATTTCGTCCCACGATAGTCTCTCCTGCTCGCGCAGCGAAAGCAATCTGTCAAGCTCCTCCTGCGAAAACTTGCGAGGATGATGGATTCTGTCAGGTTTGCCTTCAAGATGCACCTCCGAGTAGCGTTTTCCGACGGAACACTTGCTTCTGTTCAGATCCCGCGAAATCTCTTCCCAGGAGAGGTGGAGATGATTCCGTGCGTGGAGGAGGCGCTTGGTCTCCTCTTCATTCCACCTGCGAGGTTTTCGTGGAGCAGGACCCATATATCTACCATATTGCGCTCTTGCATTGGAAGCCGGCTTTCCGAGGAGCGTTCCGATTTCGCGCCACGGTTTGCCAGCGCGCCTCATTGTCGTGATCTCGTCAACCTGAGCGCTTGTGAGAGGCTTAAGAGATCGCACCTCGCCTGAGCCATTCTTTCTACTCCACCTTTGGAATGCCGATCCAACCTGAAAGCGTCAGTCAGCGATTGAACTAACCATGACGCGTTGCAGTAAAGCCCGCGCGTCAGTCGAGACTCGTCCATCCATCTTCGAGTGCTGACGTGCGGCCTTGCAGCCCTTGATTCTCTAGGTAAGGTAGGTATGCTATCTTATCTTACCGATCCCGTCGTTCTATTCCCTAGGGCCATGGCGATTTGTGGGTAGGTGTTGCCTGATTTCCTCAGGCGGATGATTGTGTCGAGTTCCTCTTGCGAGATTCTCTTCCTCTTCAATGGAACGAAAGAGCGTCGAGTCTGAGAAAAGCGGCGGAAGACTGACATGACTCGAATTCCGTCCATTCGCATGGCATCGGCACATGGACTTGCCATCCAGGGCATGACTGCACGCATGTTGTTGGTGTTTTCACGCAACATTAGGTATTGATTCCACTTTCACGTGAGATATGGTAACCTGTCGGGACTTTGGGGACTCCGTAAACTAAACCTGTGGGATTCACGACTTTTGGCCAGCTTTCATTTCAGGTGGAGAAGAGAGACTCCGGCATCGTTCCCTAAGGGCCCGGTCTTATCAATCTCCTCGACGACGCGGGCACCTCTTTACTGCCATCTTGCAATGACTGACTCAACAAACATCCTCCACGTCCCCGACCTCACCCTCCCTCTCTCCCAAACCACTCAAAAGAGTCCTTCCAAACAACTCCAACAACATCTGGAAGCAGAGCCCACTCAGAGCAGCATCATACCTTCCCTTGCTCAACTCGTCTCGAATGAAAGCATGCTGTGCCMACGCAGGCTCATAGAAGCTAAACACCGTTCCCGACTCATGGAGCGTTTTGCGAATGTGATCCCTTCCCTCGGGCGGAACGTGATTGTCTCTCTTGCCAAAGATCATCACAGTCTCCCCACGAATCTCTCCCTTCGCAGCCCGTTGCAGACTGTCGTCACCGCCCTTTCCTAGACTTCCAGCATGGATGTCAGTTGCAAAGTAGCACACAGAAGCTCTGACACGTTTGTCGAAGGCAGCGCGGAAAGCGAGGTGGCCGCCGAGACACATGCCTGTCGCTCCAATCCGCCCGTTGCAGGTGGAAAGTTGGGTCAGGAAGTCTATGGAAAGAGTGGCGTCTTCGTCGTATGCGGAAACTTGCTTCTCAACCTTCCACGCATTCCCGGCGTCGGTCCCGGGGCCATCATAGGCCAGAGCTTCGGGGCCCGTGAACTCGTGATACGAAGAAGGTGCAGCTACTATGTAGCCATGAGAGGCGATTTGACGGGCGAAGCGGGCTACAGGGCCGGTCACTGTCGCAGAGGTTAAATCTTCAGACCCGGTATAGAGCGAGAGCTTTTGTTCACGAGTGACCGAAAAGATCGGCATGAGATAGTTCATGTTTCGGGAAGGTGTGAGTATAAGATGATGTGAAATTGTTTGGGGGCTTGTCCTGAAATGCGTGAGGGATAGATAACACAGGGGCGTCTCACCTTGATAGATTTCGCTGAACAGCACGACTCCCGGGAACGTCGCTCTGGGATAGTTCGGAATGGAGGGATGAAAGATAAAGATTCCTACCTTTTGTGATCAGCCTCTACTGCAGAAGGCTGGAAAACAATGAGGTGGTGGAGAGAAGCATACGCATATCACCGCCATGCTGAGTGGGCACGTCCTTGTGGGACTCTTGAACGAGCATTGTGATGACAAGTGGCACTTGTTTTTGGTATACTCGCGGCGAATTGGTTGTATTGATGGTCCAACTTTCACGCTTCCATTCAGGTGTGTTTGGGTTGTGTTGAAGTGAGGTTGAGAAGTGGTGGAGAATGGAAGAAGGTTCATTGTTGCCGCTCCCGGTCGAAGCTCGGCAGATTTGGCCCCGCCACCCATGACTGTCATGTCTCTCGCTTCACGATGACAACATCACATCACCGCCCTCGGGTCGTTGTTGTCAGCGCGGAATAGCTTCAAACATTCACTCACCGGATCGAACCAGTGCTAGCTACCTCAGGCAGCAGCAGGAGCCCGACGACTGACCATCTCCGTCTCGTCCGAAGGATCCTCGCCGCCCGCATTCTCCTTTGCTTTCCACCCCCTCCCCTCCTTCCCCACCGCCGACGCCTTCACTGGCAGTCCCCCCATGTCGAATCCAGGTTCCCTGGCGCTGTCGAGTAAGATCAACAGCGCCAAGTCCTCCCAGCCCGCCATCAGTCCTGGACCGGCCTCAATCYCCCAATCGCAGCAGTTCTTCCAAGCCGACTCGTCCACGCGCCGAAATCTTCCCTCCTCTGCCACGCCCCGCAATCAGCAGACGTCGAAAAGCAAGCACAAGGCCAGCAAGAAATTCCGTGCCCTGGATGAGGATGAGAATTTGGAATCCTTCAGCATGCAGAATCCTCATGGAAGACGCGGCCAGCAGAGCATTACCCATTTGATGCAGTTTGCGCTACCACCCAGACCAAACGCTCAGCAGCAATACCACCGTCACAGCTATAATGGTCCACGAAGAACAGGTGGCGGAGGGCGAGGCAATACATGGGGACTGGGTAGTGGATACCACGCCATGGACAAAGCGAGGTACATTCATGCGAATTACCGATTCGTCGTGGACCCACGCGGAGAATACTACGCACAAGCCCAGGATGCCGATGTCCATCTTGATTGGAACAATGTCTTGCAGGTCATTGCCTCCTCCCAGACACAGTCCGCGTCATGTCCGATCTGTCTGGGAGAACCAACGGCTCCTCGCATGGCCAAATGTGGTCACATCTTCTGCTTGCCATGTCTCATCCGATATATGCATTCGGAAGATACAGGCGGTAGCCACATGCCGGAGAAGAAAGCTCGGAGTAAGAAGTGTCCCATCTGCTATGACAGTGTCTACGTCTCGGAGACGCGTCCTGTGAGGTGGTACACAGGTCAAGAGATTGACACACCTCGGGAGGGTGATGACGTGGTCCTACGACTGGTCAAGAGAAAGCCTGGAAGTACCCTCGCCATGCCGCGTGAGAGCGCGGATACGGTATCCAAAGGGGAGGACATTCCATGGTACTTTGCAGCTGAAGTCATGGACTATGCACGTGTCATGAAGGGTAGTGAGGAGTACATGTTGAAAGAGTACGATGAGGCAATGACGGCGATACAACTAATGRAGCGGGAAGATGAGCTCATGTTTGGTGAAGATGYCGAGTGGACGGGACGAGCCATCCGTGTGCTCAGAGAAGCAAAGGAAAAGGTCAAGGGCATTGGAAACCCACCTGCCCAGCCGAAGAAACCAGAGACCATATCTGAAGAAGTCGTCGTGGACCAGCGTCCTCGGATACAATTCAACGAGAACGAAGATGGCGTGCCTGAGATGTATCTTCAAAAGCACGCCGAGCGGTCGGCTTTCACCACTCAGCCCGCAGAATCGGAAGAAGAACGATCGGAAACTGCCAGCAATCCTCCCGTGGGCTCAATACCACGCACCCTCAACGAAATGCGTCAACGTCAACTTGAGCCAAGACCTCAGCCGAATGAGTACCTTTACTACCATGGTCTTTTGCATTACTATCTCTCACCCCTGGACATCCGAATCTTGAAGTCCGCCTTCGGCTCATACAACAACTTCCCTAGCAGCATCCTTCCACGAGTCGAGCGAGTCTCTTCTGGACATATTGTCGATGATGAGCTAAGGAAGAAGACGAAATACCTGTCGCATCTTCCATATGGATGTGAAGTCGGATTTCTCGAATGTGATTGGAGAGACGTTGTGCCCGAACGTACTCTTGCAGAATTCAAGACTCAACTTGACCGAAGACGAGAACGGAACCACGCGAAATTGAACCGAGAAGAAAAGGAGCGTGTTCGTATCGAGAAGGAAGCAGACAGAGAGATTGCAAGCCTCCGGAGAGGTAGAAGATCCAGCATTCAGGACTCCGATGGCTTCTTCAGTGGCAGTGGCATTGTTATGCCTGCACTCGGCGAGGAAGGAAGCTCTCCACCGATTGCAGGGTCAGGACATGAGCGACCCGGCTTCGGAAGTCTGGCAAGTCCTGGAACAAGTCCCGTACATTCAAGAACTGTATGGGGAACCGCTGCTGTATCGGCAAGTAGTCCCGAGACTCATGCGAGAATGATGGATGGCGATGTTTCGCAGGATGACGGATGGCTACAGGGTTGGGAAAGGGATCTGTTGGATTCGAGGCAAGATGCTGCGCTTGCTGCTAGTTTGCAGGAGGTCAGTGTTCAGGAACCGAGTAAGGCTGCTGGTGGTGGAGGTGGCAAGAAGGGTAAGAAAGGAAAGAAGATTACTTTGATGAGCACGGGCGGGGCGAGACGGGGTGCGTGAGTGTTGGAAGGAACATGAAGGATATCCAGGCTTTCAATGACGGAATGGAAATATGAATATGGAATCGTACCTCGTTGTTGGTACTAGGTATTGAAGTCGAATTATGAACATCATTCAGCTCGAGAGTATAACGATTTCGAGAAGTCGTGGTATGTTTGTCATGTTTTGTCAGTTGATGAGAGGTCGGTGCGAGACAAGAGGCATGTGTCGAGAAATACAAAGTAGCCGGGAATGAATGAATCTAAACTAGTTTCCCAGTAGTACAGGAGGATAGGTACTCGAAAGCGCTGGATATATATGCAGCTCCGAGCCAAAAAGTTTCTGGTTGTGATTCATGTACTATCGATAAAGTAATAATACCACCTACATCTCTCATCATTACCTTAACATTCCTTCCACAAGAAACCTCCCATTCATCCAACTCAATCCCACATCCAAATCTGCACCTCATCCATCACCTTCTGCTCCCCATCAATTTTCTGACCATCATCATCACCACCATCATCAACATCAACAACAACCTGTCTACCCCTAAACTTCCTCTCATCCAATTTCCTATCCGCCAATCTCTTCGCTACTTCATTAGCTTCATTCAACGTCACCAATCTTCTCTGCGCAAACCCCTCAGCTGCAAGTTTCGCTTTGGTTTGCTGTAGAAATTCCCAGATTTTCTCTTGAGGAGAACTATCACTACTACACTCAACATCCACAAAATCTTCCGCAGGTCGATCACAGATTGGTTGGTTTCTGACTTTCCAATTCCTTCTCCCCATACGGTTTCGTTTCTCAAGACTCGGAGGATTAGTAACCATCACAGCGACATGACTATCCTCCGCCATTTCAAAAGGTGTGCGACCCGTAGCATTTTCTCGGAGAAGTAATGTAGAGTCATGATCCAAGACAATTTTCGTAAGAGCTTCTTGGTTTTCTCGAATGTAGACGTGTAGCGGAGTATGCCCTTCGCCATTGATGGAATTGAGTTCGACGCCTTTGCTGTATTGTAGAATGGTGCGAATGACTTCTTCGCTGTAGTCTGTTCCATTGTAGTAGTGATATGCTTGTGAGGGATTGATGATTTGGGCCAGAGGGGTTAGGGAGCCTGGGAGGTCGGCACATCGCTCTAAGAAGAGAGTGGGTAGAAGGTTCTTGTTGATGAGATTTAGCATTGAGGAGATACTGTGGAGTTTCTCCTCGCTTGCGAAGCGTCGCTTGAGGAGATGATGTATAATGTTGTTGGAGGACTTGTCTCGAGCTGTTTGGTCGGCACCTGCTGCGATCAAGATCTCGGCTGCCTCGACTCGGTGTAGACGGAATGCAACGTGTAGAGGGGTCATCAGTTCTTGAGATTTGGCTTCTATGCAATCGGGCGAGATCCGTACGAGATATCGAAGGAGAGCCAGGGCGTCTGGGGTTGGCTTGCCCATGATGCAGCAGTGGATGATCAGATGAGAGCGAGCGCCGAGGAACTTTTGCACGCATGCTTCGAAGCCGCCTGGTATATCTGACAAGGACTGGATTCGCTTGTCTTCGGAATTTGCTTTGGCGAATTCGTTGTAGTATCGGATGGGAGCGTCGCTGAGAAGCCACTCGACAGTCTCCAAGGATCCCTTATAAGCGGCCTGCAACCTTTAACAAATTTAGTTTGCTTGTTCTGTGAGATTTTCGCGGGTTTGTACTTACAACGGGGGTCTGGAGCTATTAAGAGGCAAGGCGTCGTGGTAGTTGCGTTGATATTTTCGACCACGAGCGGCCCAGTCTCGACGCTTCGTACCATATACTGACAGTCCCTGATAGTATTTGGACTTCTCCTCGACTTCAACTCCAGACTGTTTGACAAGCTGATCCATGGGAATCCCGGCTCCAGTCCGCTTGATCAACTTCGCCAATATGTGAGGCCGGTCGACTGCAATGGCATGGTCGTACACACTCTGCGGGAGCGCGAAGAATTTATCTGCATCCTCAGCGGATGAGGAAAGATTGTTGTACTTCTCCGCAAGGGAGAGGAGGTATTCGAGCAACTTCTCGTCTCCAAAGTGGACAGCATATTGGAGCAGACTACAACGGGCTGGGAGCGAGGATTTGCTTGATTCTTTTGAACGACCGTCCCCAAACAGGTCAATAGGGCCAGTCCGTAGCAGCATTGCATGTGGAGATACTCGACTCTGGGTTTGTGTAGAGATCTGGCCAACCGTCTCGACAGTAAATGTATCATCCACAAGCTCAGATACAATACGCATGTTAGATTCCGAGTCGCTGTCGGAATCATCTGCGTCAACGAGTATGTGTCGCCGACGCTGGGGCGCATCTGGCGGTACAAACTGAGCCTGCGCAATTTCCATCATCATTGTAGCGAGTTCAAAGTGACCATGCAACACAGCAATGGCAAATGGAGAGAGTTTGTGCTGATCCAGAACGGCAATTTTGAGTGGTGGCTGGTCCTCGCCGTCGATCGATTTCCAGGTCAACATAGTCAACTCTTTGACCTTCTTCCAATCATTCACCCACGAGCTTTCGAAAAGCTGCATGTACCGCTCCGAGGCCTCGTCAGAGAGATCGGGTAGCTTAAAGCTAAAGTCCAGCTGGAATGGACTCGGCGCGGGTGTAGGGTTCCTTCGTCCGAAGTCAAGATGTGGCCACTCTTCCGCTCCGTTGATGTCTGGATGCAGGTCCTTGAAAGTCTTCGCTCCTCGCTTGATGAGCAATTCTGCCAAAGTCTCAAACTGCGCCAACATCGCGTTCACGGCATCCTGCTTCTCGGAGACGCCGATCTTGGTCTTGACTTCTTCGGATTTCTTTTGGAAAGCCTCCATTTCACGATCGTACTTCTCCTTTGCGTCTGTGAGCTGTCTCCGCGCAGACCACCAAGCATAAGATCCCTTGGTCAGCCCTGACATGTACGTGGATTCAGCATCGAGCGCAATTGGCGCGTGTCCAACTTCGTCTTCAATCGGCTTCCATTCTGCTAGTTCCTTGATCTTCGCATGGACCTCATCGAGCAGGCTACTACCATTGGTGTGCTTCCTCGAATATTGGTCGTTAAGGACTTTCCAGCCAGACGCGGTCAGGGTATTTGGATCCACGCCATGGTCTTCGATCAAGGTACCCGCGAGATCCGGCAGCTCGCACTGGACCGCACAAACAACGGGCTGTTGAAGCGTTCTCTGGAATTGCTGATTGTTCTCTTTGGAGTCTGTCGATACTTCATTCTTTGTCTGGTACGCCTTGATATATGCACTGAATTCAATGTTCGGTTTGGCGCCCAGGCCAAGCAAACGCAGGGCAGTCTGGCTGTCTCTCGCATTGATCGCTGTCATTAGCGGGCTGGCGATTGTTGGATTCCACTGATATCCAGAGACGGAGAGATGGTTTATAGCCCGAGATACCCCAGTAGGGTCGGCATCGTAAAGGCTCTGGATGAGTTCAGGCTTTGCAAGGATACCAGTATGTAGAGTCGTGTTCTGATCCATGTCAGCTTGAGCACACGAAGCTCCCAATTTGATCAAAGCCCGTGTCATTGCCTCAGCCCGGGGGAGAGGCAGTTGCAGAGCGAGGACTAGAGTCAGAACGGCCGCTCTAGCGGATTTATCGTGTTCGTGATACAATTTGACTGGGAGCATAAGATCTGCACCAAAGTCTTGTACGAGGCAGCGGACGGCATCAATATGGCCATTGACAATCGCTAGATGGAGCGGAGAGACTGCGGTATCCCAGGCCAGAACATTGACGTCATATATGTCAGGCTCGTCGGTGTTGCTGTCTCCCTCAAGGGCCTTGTCGTCCGCTTCATGGACGGGAGGCTTTACCTTGACCATGGAGTTTTCCGTCGTGGCATCGAGATCGCTCTCATCCGAGTCATCCATCATGTCAATATCAATGTCAGAATCGTTGTCTGAATTCTCATTCTCTTCTTTCGCAGCCTGATGCCCTGCGGGCATGTCAGTCATCAGCTCCCCCTTGAGTATGTTATCACTCGCGCCTGCTCTCGTCGCTCGACGAGCAACAATCTTCTTTTGCTCCTCCTCTTCGTTAGTTTCACTTCGACGGAGCAGAGCAGAGATTATGTCCACATTCCCACGCATGGCAGCCAAATGCAATGCGGTCTTGCCATCGACCAGGCGGGCAATGAGACGCGCATTGTGGTCAATCAGCTGCTGCACGACCTCGAGAGATGAGTCGGCGACGGCCAGGTGTAAAGGAGTACGACCTGTGAAGTCCCGAGTGTTGGGATCATTGCCTTCTTGCTCGAGCCAAGTACGAACGTAGTCGACATCACGCTCAACAATCGCTTGGCAGAGTCTGGCTGTGTTTCCAACATAAGCCATCTCCGTCCAACCAGCAGGCGTTATTGGATGAAAGGAGCCGATGGCCTGCCTACCGGGGTCGTCCTTGATGAAGCCGACATCACCAGAGACGTAGATCTTGCTTTCTTCTTCAAATACCTCCTCTTCTTCGACAGTTTTGGGCCGAGGGCAGGATCCGCAACAGTCGTGGAAAACATCTTCAGCACGACCGAAGAATGCAGGATGCCGATGTAAATGAACCTCTCGATCCTTGGGGAGGTTCCACTCTGCATTTAGTAGCATGTCTTTGGTGAAGAGAAGCTTCTYGATCTTTCGAGCGTGGAACTTTGGGCCGTACGGGATTGTGAAGGTGTGATAGTCGGATACATCCTCGGCATTGACCCAGTCCGCAACTTCATCCTCATGAGCATCCTTGATGTTGCCGTGTAGCCGTCGTGAGTTCATCCTCCAGCGATTAATGGCCGGACGCCCACGTTCGGCACGACGCTGGTCCAGATATGCATCTCGGTCCTCACTCCTCGGCAACTTCTCCAAGATGAGCAGTCGAGCAAGTCCTTCAGTGCGTCCAAAGGAGCGTTCGAAGATCGTGGGATCGATGCGAGAACGGTCGAGGTCTGGCCAAGAAATCTCAAAGCCTCTGTGGGCATACTTGGAAAGTCGGCTTTCGTAGGACGGCGAGCGGCGAGTCAGGTCGATGGTGTTAATCTGCGTCATGAAGGCCGCGATCGCACGTGGGCTGGCATATCTTGGTGGGGAGATCAGCAGTGTATGCCACCAAGGCCTACTTTACTCACACTTGTTTTCCATTATAGGCAGCACAGCTGCAGTCCACGTCAAACCCGGTCAGAATCTCWCTGATCGTCTTGTAAATTCGAAGAACAATCTGAACATGACGGGTAGGGTATCTATSTGTGTTAGTGAGGTGGGGAAAGAAGCACTGCTAAATGGGCTTACTGGCTAACAATGGTTATGGCATTCTTCGTGCGGACGGTGGTGGTCTCGGTGAGGATAGAGTCCCTGATACTGATCTCAATCTGCTTGATCTTGATTTTGGCTTGATCCTCGCTGAATCCGTACATGAACAAATCGACATCACTTGCTGGGGCAACCTTGTCGTGGTAATACTCCCTCAAAGCTCGTTTGGTTCCGGCATACTGTTCGGGGACAGCCAACAGCGAGGTCACAACAGCAGAACCAGCCACAACCACGTTGGACCAGTCCATGTCAACGAGAGAAGATTCCGAGAAGACATTGAAATTGGTGCGAAAGGCACTGAGTGAGGGTACCACCGCCAAAGAGCCGCCGGCGAGTCGCTGGTCATCGCCCAGGGGCATCATGAAGGAAGCCTTGGTTGCATCGCTTTCGGCGGCAAGGTCTCGTGCTCGGACTTTCAAATCTCCCTCGCTGCCATTGAAGATGGGCACAATGCTTGGGATCTCCGCCGCTGTGTGGTCTGACTGTTGTGCGAACACCTTCCGCATTTCGTTGTCGTATCGCTTGTACGGCGCCAGAAGCTGGGACATGGGCGTGTCCTCGTTCTGTTTGAGATAGGCGATAAAATTGCCATGGCTGACCGGCAGTGGTGGCAATTGAATTATTGCTGGGGTTGCTTCTGTAAAGTCCATTTTCGACGCTGTTTCCGAGGCTATGGTTTGCTGGAGGAGGTGAATGTGGCGCACTGAATGAGAAGCGTGAATGACATGAGGATGGARGGGCGTTTATAATGATGAGTAAGGAGCATGCAATAGTGAGTGAGCGGGAGCTAATAGGAGGGAATGTCGGTGGTTCAGACAGCAGCGCGATGAGATCCAATCAGCACTGCGGGCTGCCTGCAAACGAGGCAGCAGCCTCCACATGCCACTTGCGTCGCCGTACTAAGGCTTACACGCCGGTTGTCGTCATGTTGTAAACGACATGATGATTGACGACTCGGTGATGTTGATGGAGATGAAGTACTTCACCTAGAAGAACAAAAAATGCCATGAAAGTCGTCGTCGATTCACAATCCAAGGAACTGTAGGTAAGGTACAGTCTTGTCAAGCGAGTAACCCCTGCTGGCCCAATCAAATCCCATCAAATCCGATTCAATTGGCGTTCGCGCTACTCATACCCCATCGCCTAACGGAATCTCCACACCAAGGACCGGCCCCACCCGCCAAGGCGGAATGCAGTCCGCTCCGCCATCCCTCCCGTCCCGTTGGGTGAACTCAATTCCATCTGGACTTTCCAACTTTCGAGCAACATAAGACCACCAGAAACATCACGTTTTTGTGCATTCCATTTCCATCCCTCGGGCTTCGGAGTTTTGTCACGGATCCGCCCAACATACGCAAAGCCCACCAGGTTGTCACCAGGTAGCTGTGCAAGCTGCTTCCTGTCTTGGCCATTTTGCCCAAGTAGTGTACTGTAGATCTCGACGGCAGGACGATACCTACATTACAACGAGATCGGGCGAAGAAATTCCATATCTGATACCAAATCACACGTCATTGAGCGACATCATCTCGCGTAACTTATCCGCTCGTGCTGGAGGGCCATACATGCTTGCAATCCCGAAAATGCGATCCGGTACTCTTGCTCTACGCGCCAGCATCACGCTGGCATCACATCTCCACCCGGCGCACTTCAATGCCATCCGAATAGGACGGTGCGGGGTCCTCAAGTATAGCGTCTCTGCCTTTTCAAGCATTGGGAGTTTAGCAGGGCCTCCAAAGTCACCATCACCATCACCGGACCGGAAAAGCAACATATACTACACGCCAGTAGAAGCAGCTGATTCAAAACGCGGTCTGTCGAGAAAAGAACGCYAGGATCTCAGAGCCGAGGCTTATCGGCCACCAATGACCCTTGCAGACAAGCAGGCCGAACAAGATCTCCGCCGTTCTGCCCGACCCGTCGATGTTCTACGCCGATGCATCGACGACGGGAACGCTTCACCACATGTTGTGCGTCTCTGTCTGGAAGCGCAATGGTCGGCACAGGCATCTATCCCGCGACAGCGTCGCGAACGGATTCTCGCCGCACAGCGGAAGGATGGTCTCGCCCAGCTGATCTTGATGCAAATGTTGAACGACTTTCCCCAATGGATCTCTTTCCTTGGATGGGAAGTCAGCGCAGTTGGCCATCTCTGCTACTTCGCGGCCGTCGAAGGGTTGGAAGCATATATGCTGGACTTGCTGTTTGTCACCACCTCGGAGTCTACAATTCACTGGCGTACAGGTCTCTTCCAGGGAATGATCGCCGCAGAGCACATGCTCGACACTCGTGGTTCCGCTAACAGACTCCTGGAAATCTTCTTCAAGGTTACGGATACGATCGCTGATAAGCGAAAAGAGCGCGCGCTTCACCCGACCAATGGCGAGAATCACGCCTCCTGTGGGATCCTCACCATGGACACGGAACCTGCCCTTCTACGGACATTCAGTTGTTTAACGGATCGCGGATCGTTGTTCGGTACACATCGGACATCTCCCGCCCTATACGATCGATTCATGGACCACTATCAGCAAGCCATGTCAAAAAGGCTGAACCACCGAGAAGCCAAATGGGGTTTGTCTCGTGCTTTGCTATTTCATCCAGTCTCTTTAGATGCAGGTCCAGCACTTGATCTTCTCCGAGACTATGCCTACCTTGGGCCCGATGTTTTCACGAGCCAGCGCGCTTGGGTTCATGATAGTCTCGACTCGATAGTGGCAAGCTTCATAAGACGAACTGCAGAAGTGGCAGAAGCGAGCGGCAACTGGGAAGCTGCCGTCTGGGTCTTCAAGACCTTTGAAAAACAGTTTTTGACGGTTAAGCCAATGGACATGCGACATGCCAGAGGCCAGGTCAGATCGCTTGGTGTGCCTCCGACGCCAATACAGCAGCGGCTCTTCACTGCTGCCACCCGAGTGGGCGGTCTCCTCGAGAAACCCCGCCCAGAGACTGTGCAAGTGGACATTCAGCTCCGCTGAGCACGCTCGGCGATTGAATCTTCCACTTGATCGCATCGACACACATTCGCGAGATCTTCGCCTTGCAGAACGTGCTACGAATAGGAGTAGACTTGAGTGATAGCAGGAATCTCAGCATCTCTAGGGTGTCGAAGCGTGCATTACCGTCGACTTTCGGACCTCACAGATGAGAAATGGTGAGATTCGGAAAGCGACGTTTCTGCCTTCCGAGGTGACATCCGGCTTCGTATAGGTTCCGCTATCCCTCGAGAGAAGACTACTCGGGGTTCTTCTGACATGTGACAATGAACTTGTTGAACAAAGAGATCTATAAGCACCCTTGAAGAGGCGCCGGCCGATATCTTACACAGAGAGCGAAATGTTAACACCAATAAATTCTCACAATCCCTTTCTGGACAGTAAAAGCGTACGATGCGTGCACGAATTTCTGGAGGAAAGCAAAACATTACATGTTACCCATGGAAAGGGAATGTGCCATATTGCGGGATGGCGTCTGAATCCTTATCCTGAGGAACCGCATGGAGTAGTTACACGATTTACTGGCACCTCAATGACGTGTGTTTTTGGGTTGGACTCGGAGAATGACTTTGTCGATCTCAATGACGATACTGTACTCTTCTTGTCGATGGTTCGAGAGCATTCACTTGGAGGAATTGATTCACTTGGAGGAATTCATTGACTTGATTAGTAATGTGAAACCTTCTGGACATTGAGCTTGTGGATGTACATAAGGGCTATCATTCACTCCTAGATAGGCAAACAATCAAGTCATCAATTTTTTCACACCTCTGATTCCTGGAGAGGACGTCACGCTGAGGTGGGCGATTAGGTTCAATGCTGGGATTTATGGTATCGATGTTGCGCGGAATAGACGCGGCCCTCCAATGCAAGGAACTTTGCCTAGAACGCGGACTGCATAAGGAAATAAGATCCAGAACATAAGTTGTGAAATCTTCTAGCCGAAGGATGAGAATAGCGATTGTGTGATGGGCGCGTCGTAACGACTTTAAAGAATCTTTGAGCCTGAGGGTAATTTGCGAAGCTCTGCAGAGCAATGTATCGTTTGCCTCAACATAACTGATGGACGTCGGGAGACAACGCAGGCTCCAAGTATCTTCGAGAAAAGGAGTAGTGTAAAGTTTCATTTGCCAAGATCGATTGAGCATCAACACCTGGATAGTGCTCGTGATCCAGGGTGGCTACACAATTTCATTTCCTGCTCTGGTGAATCCTAATGGTAACTAGCAGTGCTGTACACAACAGCATGATGCATCCAGCAAAGATCCACGAAAACTGGTATTCCGCCTGAACCTCCTTGACCGTGTTACCAGATGATCCTCGAAGGGCGCCTGCGATGGGGTTTCCAATCAGACCACCAAATGCCGCAACAGTATATCCCACTCCCATCCGAACGCCATAATCTTCAGGGTCTTTAGTCAGATTTGCGATGATTGCAGCTGGCAATGATACCATTCCTCCAGATACAAAGCCATAAACAGCGGAAACAGCTATCAAACCCGAAGGATTGTGCGTAAGCCGCATAACGAATAGGATGACAGCAGAGAAGAAGCAGCCAGGTATCATTACAGTGATTCCTCCATACCTAACACACGTCAGCAGACTCTCTTGCAAAGGGTGGGGATGACGAACTTATCAGCCAGCCAGTTAGGGGCTAGACGACCGACAAGACTGGTCGCGTTCATGATACTCAGCAAGTAGAATGACATGTCACTAGTCATACCAAGCTGAATGGCAAACTCCTCGATGAAGAAGAATGGAACGTAGACAGACAACATCATTAGAGCGAAAGCTGTCACAATGTTAGTGAGATGACTTCTGAAACGAATCGCGCTGTTTACCTGTAATGAACATCGTGTACTCAAAATCACTGAACACTCGAAATGATAGCGCTTTCCGTTCAACCACTGCACGAGGTCGGAGTCGCATGACTGCGCAGCAGATGAGCAGGCATCCTAGCATTACAAATGCTAAGATGCGGACGGCCCAGGCGAATCCGACGCTGCGAAATAGATGTTGCAGCATGATTGGATATACGATACCCGCTGTGAATATACAGTAAGCATGAGAAATCGCATCTTTCGTAACTCGACATAATGCCTACCTAAGCTACTACCAGTAGCAGCAATCCCARTCGCAATCATCCGCCGAGAAGAAAAATACAATGGAATAACAGCAACGGACGTCAGACCCAAAAGTCCACTTCCAAGTCCCGTACAAATGGCCTGGGAGAGTAGGATTTGCCAATACTTCGTGCTGAGGGAAGTCATCATCATGCCAAAAACTTCTAGAAATGTTCCGCCGAGGAGAAGGAGTTTGAGATGGCCGGCATCGAGCAGCCAACCTGCGAAGACTCCGACGATCATGGTTAGGAATAGCTGGATGGAGCCTATCCATGCTATTGCTGAGGGTGATGAGTCGGGGAGTAAGGTTTCGACGTAGTATGTTTGGAAGACGCCGTAGGAATTCGCAAGACCCCTGTTCTTGTCATTAGTTACATCTTTCAAGGTTGGTTCTGGATTGATTGGACGGACCATGTGTTCATGAATAGTATCCAACTTCCTAGGACTTGGAGCCATGCAATGTAGCCTCCGTCCATCCGTTGGGAATTATCAGCCAAAGMAGTCTCTGATGCGGATGRCAGCTCGGCATCAGTTGCCATGTACTCTTTGGTGGCCGACGACACCATTGTTATAGAATATTCCCTGGATTGCGTAGCCTGACGGTAGTTCACGTTGCCAAACCAAGATAACACGAGCCGGGAGTCCAGAGTTCACGGGCAATGCGGAAGAATGCGGACAGTGATAGTTAGTTATATGTAAGTCTTGTGGGTTTCGTAGATCATCTGCAGTGTCTCGTACGATGAAAACCGTAACTTGTGAACGATCTTCTCGGTAAGCCGGTGGTATGTTAAGCTAGCTATTCATTAGCGTCTGGCATCATTGCCTTACTTGATCGGGCAAAGCTACATAACGAACAGCTGGCTTATACCACCGGCTTACCGAGAAGATCGTTGCACCCGTTACCGGTATTGAAGGGCAGCTGCTTCTAGACCTTCCCAATGGAACATAGTGTTAATCATTGACTACGGCACGAAGATCCTTCCTTGGTCCAACAGATCAACTGCCCGCGTCGAATAAATCCTGTTCTCGGACCAATATCCGTGGCAGGAGTTCTAGAGCTCTTGTCAGGCGGCAGGTTGTTTGGTCATACGCAACACGAAATCAGTCGAAAGCTCGCTTTACAATTTTCGCATTTGGCCTCGCCGATTGGGTGCCAAGAATATCCTCAAATCAGACCATTACCATTCTGCAGWACCCGAAGATCGACCGAGGAAGCTATGGATGAACCGCGGCCCGCTCCTCTAGGAGCAATAAGGTCAGTCATTCAGACTGTGAGGCATTCGGGTTATCAAAATTTGTCCTCTATAGCCTAGAACATCATCTGGACCACTGAATGCTTGTAATGTTCAGCTGAGAAGCTGTGATGTTCGAATACTCTCAATGCAGATTTTGACGTTTTCGGCGCCAGATCTTTCTTGGTGGGAAGAGGCAAACTTTCGTTGCTACTGGAAGAACTTTGTTCCGTAGTGCTGACGACGCAGTAGATGAGACGCCATCTGAGCAAAGAGAGTCCCATCAATACGGTATGTGAGACGAATGCAAAGAAGAGAGAAAGCGATGTGGACTTGCCAGAAAGCTAAGCTCCCTCATATTCTCACTTGATGACCACGTTACGGACATCTAGTCGTAGCAGTGTGGGAATGTGACCAAGACGATCCTGCTCACGGACGCAACCGGTAGCAAAGACTTCAAAGCAATTTCACAGAATCTGGGAGCTGTATTCATCGGAGGAGCAGGAGACGACGTCTCTTCGGGCTCTTGACTTGAGCAGAGTTGCCAGTTTGGGAGCTGCTAGAAGTCTTTCTAACCGCAAGATTGTCCGCTAGGAAGACGTGGAGAGAATTTAGAGATTCTGGTCGTGGCCTAGGTCTGTTTTATGGGAACTTCTGACAATGAGTTGCTTATATTATTGGATCCAGCTCTTTGGTCTCCTTCGTCCACCTGATGAAAGTCTCCTCATGGGCTCTGGTACAGCAGTCGCGGAATGTCGACCGGTTCCTGTCACCTCACCTAATGGTTCGTCATATGTTTGCGTTCTCGATCTGGGTTATACGTCGCTAGTGACACCAAGGAGAACCTCGCTTCATCACATCGATTCCTCGGATAGCCGCTGTTCGACTCAGGAGATTGTAGTCAACAGTACAGTAAGCTGATTGAAACCTCCCGGCAACTGAGCAGAGCAGGACTGAGGATCCTCGCGTCCGATCCTTGTCAGATACAGTCTTGGCAAGCGAGTTGAGTACATAGAACCCCTGCTGGCCAAATCAAGTCCCATCAAATCCCATTCAATTTGCGTCCGCGATGCTCATCTCGCGTGACAGTACGTACTGTACTGTACAAGCAGGACGGTCTAGACAGCCGCCGAGTGTCTTCCGGTTCCGGGTCACTAAGCTTCCGCAGCCGGCGGCCGCGTCGCTGCGTACACATATCCGTCCYCCCACGATCAATTCGCATCGATCGTGCACCCCACGATCGTCAATTCCAATATGGTAAACTGATGAGTGTGCCAGTCTGCTTCAGAATATGTCGAGTCTTACCCACATCTATACTTTCAGAGGAGCCATTGTCGTCTCGCCCTCCTTTCTCCTGCTGCAGTTCGTGCTCTATGCTGCGGTTGATACTTTACAGGCGCAAACTTTCTCTTTGGATTTTGACGTCTCAAATGGCATTGCAAAAGCTGTACCCTTCGAGAAAACCACAAATGGCGGGCTTCGGTCCTGTCAGATGACCCACAAGATCTGGGATTGAAGCTTCACCCGGTGAGCTCCCCTCATACTGTATGGCTACGCAACCTTATTGACCAATTCTGTCATCGCCATGTTGTTGTTGCTTCACCACATCACACGGTCCCATACACACTCCGCGAGAGTTCTGACATGTAAAACTATGACAACGTCTCTAATCTCAACCCAAGGCACAGCAATATCGTCGTAAGAGAATCATCGGCCTCCTCGCTACGCCTGTTCCGACTCCCCGGATGATCTTGGCAGTTGTATTGAGCTGGGAACATCTCGCAATGTACTCCGTTGTAGCTTGGTACTGTACCTTGCCATTTCTACCCCTGCTTCTGTCCCCGCAATCTCACACGCGTGAGGGGTACTTTGCAGCGCACAAACGATTGTCATTCGCTTCAACACTGAGTTGGCACTCATATAATCCCTGCGGAGTAATGGATGAGATCTTGGACGTCAACGATAAAGGTGGAGATGCCCGTCACAGCGTAGAAGGTTAAAACCTCCTTTTCCCAAAGGCATTTTCAGTTCATCTCAATTCCCCTAATCACTCAACTCAGCGTCTCTCAACTACACATTCAAATCGTTCCAATATGGGCAGCGTTGGTGACCCACAGCCGGAGCGCATCCTCAAGACCGACCTCTGGCAATATGGCAAAAGACGGCGTGAGGATGGTCCATATGCTGACAATCTTGACATCGACGTACTCGTAATTGGTGCAGGATTTGGCGGTGCATACTCCTTGTATGAGTGTAGGAAACAGGGCTTCAGCACTGTCGTGTACGATGTCGGCCAAGGCTTTGGTGGGACCTGGCGCTGGGTGAGTGAATACTATTATCTTTACTTATCCTCACTAACCCTGTTTAGAACGTTTATCCAGRGGCCCGAGTGGACAGCCCTGTTCCCATTTATGAACTCTCCATTCCCGAAGTATATAAAGATTGGTACTGGACGACCAACTATCCTGGCTGGGATGAGCTTCAGGCATATTTTGACCATGCCGACAAGGTGCTCGAGCTTAGTAAGGACTGTGCTTTCGAGACTGTGGTTGTCAGCGCCGAGTTCGATAAAAATGAGGGAAAGTGGGTCGTCAAAACTCAGGATGGCAGAACTGCGAAAGCTCGATTCTTGATTGTCGCCGCGGGCTTCGCGGCCAAGCGATGTAAGTATCGATGTGCACCTTCTGGTATTGGATGCGCTGATAATCCATTCGGGCAGATATTCCCGATGTACCTGGCCTCGAAAGCTTTAAAGGAACCATTCATCACAGCTCCTTCTGGCCTGCAGAGGGAGTCGACTATAAAGTAAGATCGATTGTGGTCGATCTACTCTGTGCTCGCTGACTCCATAACAGGGCAAGAAAGTGGCTATCATCGGTACTGGTACGTTGCAATACTATCAGAATTGCTTCTCGACGAATACTGAACTTTATAATCAGGCGCCTCTGGTGTGCAGATGATTCAGGAAATGGGACCACATGTCGAACACCTCACTGTGTACCAACGTACTCCAAATCTTGCCCTTCCAATGGGCAAAAAGCCACTGACGAAGGAGGAGCAAGATGCCATGAAACCACTCTATCCGACCATCCACGAGATGCGTGAGCATTCATTTGCTGGTTTCCACTATGACCTGTGCGAACGCAACACCTTTGACGATAACGAACAAGAGCGTGAAGCTCACTTCAACAAACTCTGGGAACAAGCCGGGTTTGCCTTATGGCTTGGCGGATACAAAGACTACCTGTTCGATGAGAAGAGCAATCGAGAGAGTTACAATTTCTGGCGAAAGCAGCAGTCCAAGCGGGTTAAGAATGAGGAGAAGAAAGAGTTGCTCTTCCCAGAACAGCCTCCACATCCATTTGGAGTCAAACGTCCTTGTCTCGAGCAAAACTATTACGAGGTTTTGGATCGGGATAATGTCACTATTGTAAACATCAACGAGCAGAATGGAACTCCTATCGAAAGGTTTACTGAGAAGGGCATCGTTGCTAATGGTGAGGAGCGCGAGTTCGACATCATTGCATTAGCTACTGGATTCGATGTGGTGAGTATCAAACGGCAGAATCGAGAGTTTCGAATCGATTGCTAAAGCTGAAAAGGTGACTGGCGGTATGACAAGCATGGGTCTAGTAAGTCTGGGTGGAGAAGGGCTGCGATTACTAGCACTGACCACAAATAGAAATCAATCAACGGCACCTACCTTCAAGACGAGTGGAAGGCGGCGGCAAATACATTCTTAGGTACCACCATTTCTGGATATCCTAATTTATTCCACATCTACGGTCCTCATGGTAAGCCAGCCAAGGTCGAAAATCCACCGAGACAACCAAAGAAATCTCTCCCAAGCTGATCTCTTGTCGGTTACATCGGTACTTTCGACACATCACTGACATATTACCATTCTCTTTCCCAGGTCCCACGCTTCTCTCAAATGGACCATCGACAGTCGAAATTCAAGTCCGCTGGATTCGCGACGCAACCAAGCAGATTGATCGTCAGGGGCTGAAATACATCAACCCGACCAAGGAAGCTAGCGACGAATGGAAGAAGCGCATCAACGATCTGGCGGCTCCATCGTTATTCCCAACCACTCGATCAACTTACATGGGAGGTACTGTGCCCGGGAAAGCGTTTGAGATGACTTGCTATGCTGGTGGCGTGGATAAGTATGGTCCTGAGATTAGGGGATATTTGAATGGATGGAAGGGGTTCGAGACTGTCAAGGCATGAGAGTGTTGCGAAATGGAACTTTGAGTTACTTTGTAGTCTGCTGTATGGAAGGATGAGTTTTCGAGACGTGAGGCTGATCATCTTGATAAGAAGTCGTTGTTTACGTGCTTTGGATCTTGCTTGGTTGCCGGGTCATTGATAAGTGGCTTTACGAGCTGCGATACATTGAAGCTATTGTCCATCAGCATTCCTACGCCTTTCCTGTAGTTGTAGTAGTGCTCAGTTACTGAGCATAGCTCTGGCGCCGCAACGAGATGGACGTCGGCTGGAACAAGGGTGCAATTCATCTTTCAGGTGATTATAGGCTGTCGTTAGGCGGCTATGGATCATCGCGATGTGGAACTTGCAAGCTCAGGAGGATTCATCAGAAGCCCATGTTAGCCGCTCAGAATTTGATTGATTGCGACCCCCCTTTTCATTACTTTGTCGACGAGAAGACAGCAAGAAGCGTAATCGATTGAAGCCGACCTTCCAGTCAACTCATGGGTTGTAAAGCGCCGACTTGAGTGCTCAAATGACGTGGCGCTCAGTGCAATCGTATGGAATGAGTCTTGCATCATGGAATCCATAGCTATCTGGCATCCTCTAATTTGTGCTGCCATCAATCAATGATTATTGATTCTATCTGTAAAAAAGTTCCTCGCCGTTCCAATATCATTGAGATACAACAAGTGAGCGACGGTAACGATCAAAGTCCCATCACAAACAAGATCACCAGGTTCGCAGATAACCTTCGTCTTCTCCTTTGGAAAATTCGTGATACGTCCGCCATTCTGTTTATTCTTTGTGTATCCATATAACACAACGGAGTTAATTTGGTTCATTAAATTCGCTGGTAGTGTGCTGATAGCACTAGCCATGAGAGCGGCTCCTTGACTTTAAGAACCTCGTTAGCTATTCATCACTTCGACCAAAAGTCCGGAAATCTTACCTATAGCCGCCTGCGACGATTTTCGTGCTGGGGCACTTTGAGTTTGCAAGCCTGAGCAGTCTGACGCCTTCATCGATGGCGTTTTGGGTGGTTCCTTTTGGCTGGAGATTGGYGAATAAGTCCCCGGTGTATTTCCCTCCTCCTACGCCTTGGCATGCTACGTTACTGTCACCGTACTGAGACTTGAGAGCATTGCATGCTTGTGGGCCTGGCGCTATGCCCATATTTCCTGGTCTATCAATGACGTTAGACTAGGAGGGGATGTTGCCAAGAATATTCGGACACTTACTCGGTTGATCCGCGAGCGTAGATGAATGTGATTTGTTTGCAGCTACCGTTTTCCAGCTTCGGTGGAAGAGATACCTCGTTTGTTGACACTTCTACTTTGCGAGTTGGCTATCGTAGCGAGATCAATCTGCACGCTATCCTGTGCAAGAATCGACACAGCCAGGAGGGAGAGAACAGCAAAGGTCTTCATTGCAGTGGATTGGGATGGATTTGATGTGTCTAAGATCGAGGAGCGTATGAGATTGTTCGGTTCATGACGAGGGTCTCTCGCTTCTCATTTATGTGTTGTTCTGATCATCTTGGTCACGGTCTGGAACACCGCAAATCCCATGATTGCGAGAATTGTTCACTTGTGGCGCCCAAACGTTACCATGAAAGCATAGTCTACAGCTTCAACAACAGCAAAATGCGGGGAACAGTATGGGATCTGCAGACGACGACGGCCTTTACTCTGCTTTTGTCTACTCCGCGATGGTGTATAGACTGTGAACTCGTTTTGATCACGGACAGGACGCTATTCCTGACCTTACCCCGGAAAGTGGCGTTGAAATGGCGCGGGGACGCTAAAACCTCCTTCCTATCTGGGCACGTCACGTCCTATAGGATCAAAGCTCTAGATTCTAGCGCTGTAGATCCGGGGTAATGCGACGTATGAACGGTCAGTTCGAAGGGAGATTCTGGACACGTTCCTCCACCTTTTAGCGCTGTAACGTTAGAAGCTTCGCATTAGCCAGTCGATCAAGGATTCTAGTGCTGTCACGTTTGAGTTCCATCATTATGAGTCTTCGCTGGGAATTCTTCTGAGAAGCYGCACCGATTCCCAGACATAATGAGAGTGGAAGATGGGCAAAGTTCTGAGCAGAAACTATGCCGGGTAGTCTTCAAGGATGAAAACGGCCTTACAGCGTTGATGTATAGTATGCCTTCGAAGGATTGGCTAGTGATACAATCCCTGACCTGAAACGAGCACTAGGAGAAATTGCCTATTGCGGATTCAAGCTTCAAGGCGCTGTTGGTGTTTAGGTGTGGCTTTTCATGCTTCACACCAAATTGTTCTCCAAATCATCCAGTACATTTGACAGTCGGATGATACAATTGAGGCGAATGCCGCGCATAAGGATCTTTGGTAATATTTGAAAGAAATGGCTCGGGGATGTGTGCAAATAGCCGGCCCGTCAAATTCTACTCCGCAACGTAAACTTCCGGCTCGCGAGCCAGCCGACATATGACAATCGTTCTCTACGGACCTAAGCGATCGAAAGCTTCTCGGTGATTTTCCAATAATGGCTAAAATAATCCTTGTAACACCCTACAGACGACCCACATCGACAACGCCCTTCTAGAAGCGGGTAAATCAGTCACCAATTGCATAATTTCCCGATAGAGATGTGGGTGTGGGTTCCTACAAGTAGAAGGTGGAAAGCGGAGCTGGCAGTGGTCGCCGTACCAGGTTACGTCCAGACATATAGACGTTGGCCTGCATCTTCCTTTCGAACGCCGTTCCGCCGTTGTATTTTATTTTGTTCTACCAAATCTGTGTCGACTTTCTAAGATCATGTYTCACAAACTTACTGTCCTGCTCCTCGCAGGTTTTGCCGCGGCGGACATTGGCAACATGTGCGGAGAGCAAGAGGGCTACTCCAGCAGTGGCTATCGGGTGCAAAACAACCTATGGGGAAAAGGCAGTGCCTCCGGAGGATCTCAGTGCTCTGCTGTAAACAGTATATCGGGCTCAGGAGTCGCATGGTCTACCACTTGGCAATGGTCTGGTGGTCAAAACAATGTGAAGAGCTATTCGTACTCTGCCCGCGAGGGATTCAACAAGAGGCCCGTTTCCCAGATCGCTTCCCTCCCTTCTTCTGCTTCCTGGTCCATCAGCAACGGAGGAGCTCGCTTTAACGTTGCATTCGATCTCTTCACGGCCGCAGACCCAAACCACCCAACGTCTAGTGGAGACTACGAATTGATGGTCTGGCTTGCTCGTTATGGAGAAGTTTACCCAATCGGATCCCGCAAGTACACCGTCAATCTAGCGGGTTACTCATGGGACCTTTACGTCGGCTACAATGGCAACATGAAGGTCTTCAGCTACGTCGCTCCTAACCCAATCAACAACTTCAATGGAGACATCAAAGCATTCTTCAACCACATGATATCCCAGGAGGGCTTCCCGGCTTCATCGCAGAATCTGATCAGTAAGTCAAGATGTTTTGTTTACAATGCTCTCACACTGACTCGAGTTCGCAGCTTTCCAATTCGGTACCGAACCCTTCACTGGGTCCAAAACAACGTTCGATGTTTCAAGTTGGACCGCAAACGTGAACTGATCGAGAGACTACTCTCTTGAGGTGTTTGTTGCTATTTTGTTCTTCCATTTTCAATCGCAGTAGATATGAATCCACGAGTTCCTAGGTCGAAAAATAGCTTGTCGACGATGGATAGTGGCCGGCAGTCTACTGCAGCGACATACGGACATGCTATGAGCACATGTACATATGGAGCTCTTCTACTCTTCGAAAGGATGGCAATCTCTGCTATTCTCACTAGACTACTTTTGATAGTTTGCGCATAACAAATGTTGTTTGCGGTACCATAGGACTATCTTCACCACACCGACAAAGTCGTCTTTTAGATACAATGAGGCTGTGGGTCGCCCGGGCTGGCCTTGTAACTAATTCTCCCGGCCGGCAGAAAAAACAAAGCTACCAGTGCACCTTTGCGTACCTCTGGATAGTGATGCGTCCCAGGTCCAGGGGATGTCCAACCTGCACCTTGCCATCCTTGCATGCCTTTCAGCTCTGCTGTGGGATCGACTTGTACCACACAATTTATCTCTCCGTAAGGATGGGAATGGTACTGGCCAGAATACTGATTTATTCGTCAGCCTTTCACGTTTACAATGTGACATCAAAATGCACGGTGGGGATTGGTAAAATCTTACCTCTTCTTCACTTTCCATGTACACCGTGGTAATTGAGAAGAATTTGTTCTCTGGACTGGGAAGCAGGATCTTCGAGCGTCGGTATTTGGCTCCGTCGAGTTCGAAGTTAGCGACCCAGCCTTCCTTGAGACCTTGCCGTGTCAAGTTGCACAAATCTTCGTAGACTGGGTTGCCGGGTCCATAGTTGGTGTTCAAGAAAGCCTCAAGCTCGTGGCCCGGCGTACTACAGGTCAACGTGTCAGCACATAGCTTGCATCCAAAAGTTTCGACTCTTTTTGCGGTCGAGGAACTAAGGAAGCATTACAGGTCCTCAACTTCAGACAGAAAGTCGCGGCAGCGGCTGACGAGCTTTTCGGCTGTAGGGTGGGCAGATAGGTCGACTTCTGTAGGAATAGGGGTCGAGGAGGGATCCATGTCGCTACTTAATAGCAGTCTACATCAGATACAGTTGATGAGGTCAAAGAAGAATCACGCTCGTGGAAAGCAGTGCTTATGATTACAAAATTAGTCAAGCTTGTTTTGCTTATGCACAAGCTACCTGACCTTCATTGCCCCGCACATAGTGAGGTAAACTTCGGTGGCTTGACATTGACCATTGAAATAGCTCGGCGTCATCTTACCGGATTAGTACCCCTCGCCGCGAGCAATAGAGATAATGACATGCGAGGGGTATTGCAGCTTATGTAAGTCACGTCACTTTTGTAGGGAGTAAGATGCCGTGCAAGAATGCCACTCATGCTCGCACTGATGATATGACGGCAGTCGTTTACCTCGCTACAATCTGTCAGCCTGCCCCATAAAAGTAATCTCGACCCGAGGGTAGAGTTGTTCGTCCTCGCAAATTCGCATCAGATCATACCAACGAGGAGTAATTCCACACAATAAGGTCCCTGATCAACACTGGAAGCCCCGGACCACATTATCGCAGTGATGAAAGAAGCACATGTCGATGCCGACACGGCAGTGACTCTTCATGACGTGGGAATCCCCCGTCTGACAGACCCTCATCAAATCCTTATCAAAGTGATAGTCTCGGGATGTAACCCAAAAGACTGGAAGATGCCAGCCGGTCTACTCGTAACAATTGGCGATTGTGCCAACAGCGGCGACGATATAGCAGGTGAAAAACTTTGTTAGGTACGGATCTTGAACAGTTTGCTGACACCATACAAAGGTATCGTCCATGAAGTCGGCTCCGCGGTGAATGGTTTCCATCCCGGTGATCGAGTTGCCGCACTGCATCAGCTCGGTGCTCCTTACGGAAGCTACGCAGAATACAGCGTGGTCTCGGATCATGCTATATTCCACATCGGCGATAGATCATTCGAAGAGGCGGCGGCGATCCCAATGGCGTATTACATGGCCTCTGTGGGGCTGTTTGGGATGTTGGGCTTGCCGATGATGTGGCAGCATCACGACAATGACAATGATGATATATCAAGCACGCCTTTGATCATCTATGGCGCTTCAGGAGCGGTCGGGTCAGCGGCAGTACAGCTCGCGCAGAATGCCAACTTACATCCGCTGATATGTATCGCTGGAGCTGGAGCACCTACAATTCAGCCGCTATTGGACTTCAAAAAGGGTGATATTGCTATTGATTATCGCAAAGGAGCCGACCATGTTGTCGAACAGATGAAAAGTGCACTCGACGGACGTAAACTACGCCATGCGTTCGATTGCGTAAGCGAAAAGGGTTCGTCGGAGAACCTATGCAAAGTGCTCAGCCTAGGGGGAAGCATAAGTCTTGTACTGCCGTCAGGGGCAAAAGACGTTCCAGAGGGGTTTAGAAAAAGCGCAACGATGATAGGAGGCCTGTGGGATGGATTCAACAACAAGAGCGATTCCCATATTTTGATGGGTTTCAACAGTCCCCGCGAGTTTGGATACTGTTACTCTAGCCTGATTGGATATTGGTTTCGGGAAGGTAGATTGCATGTACAGAAGCCTGAGGTTGTAGAGGGTGGGCTACTTGGTGTTGAGAAAGCTCTAAAGAGCTTGAGAGCTGGCGAGAATCATGGTGTTAAATATGTGGTGAGGGTCGAAGATACCCCGGGTTTGAGATAGACTCGAAAGAATTATTGGGAGACAACGTCTGGCTATCTATAAGCCCGATCTAGTATCCAAAAACTTTATTCTCGAGGCCAACGACGTCCAGGCATCTCCTCCGTTACGATTGTACCGAGGGCTCCTGAACTACTCCACCGCCTAATGGTACCAAAGATAGTCTCCTACCATTGCTCATCACGACCCTTGGAGATCGCTTCGGTGGTAGAGATGCTACGACAAGGTCTTCGTTCTCACGGTTCCTGGGGGCACTGAATTGTATTACAATTGTAATGGATCGTCAGACTAAGTCGGCCCTCTYGACAATAGTCGACGGACATGGCAGCTGATTTCAATCCGGCCGCCTTTCGTGGGGCAGAACTGAGATTCGAGCCGGTCTCCCTATAGATCATCTCGCCGTCTCTGACACTGCTTCTGTCTAGTAACAAGAGTCGTTCCATGCCAAATAAGATCTGTTCGATCTTGCGCCTCCCCTGAACCCACCACAAACAAGGCCGGTTCCCATCGGACCCTGCATACACCTTTGCCGAATAGTTTGGAGTAATAACCATACGGCTCATTGTAGTCTCCTACACCACCGATCCTAGATTGCCGTCCTCCAATCTGCTCGCATCTTTTCAAGCCAAACAAAGGCCGTATTGAGTAGACAGGGACGACAGCCGAGTCACCATATTTGTCGCCGGATATCCTAGGACGATGTGTCTTCTGGAAAACGCCGATAGAGGGATCGATGACCAAGAAGATTATTAGACCACCTCCTCCACTGATTGCGAACATCATGTAGCTGACAACGAAAGGGGTTCCGGGATTCTCAGGAGCAAGGAGTGCGATCAACATGAAAATGATGATCACCATGTTGAAGCACGTCCATATTGTCCAAGCTCGTGGCCATGGATGCTTGTAATGGGTCTGAGGGTCAAACTGTAGCGACTGGCCGTCGTCTGTACTGTTGTCATCTGGATGAGTTGTCATCGTCGTCGGAATTTGATGGTTCGTCTCGTCCGGAAAGGACGAAAGCTCCTCAAAGCGGCCCACTAGCGCTTAACACAGAGGCGTCTATTGTGTGTCCATGGATCGTGTATGTCCTTGTTGTCGGTTGGTACGCAGTGTCAAAGGAAGCTGGAAAAAGTTGAGATCACGAGAATGCTCAAAAGACAGCGCTGAGGAATTAGAGAGGCACGGTAAATGACGCAGGACGCATGTTGTAGTGGAGCACAAAATGTACCACGTCGCACTGTCCGGAGGCAGCGTGCCGAGCAGGCTTATCATTCACCCTTGCACGCTTGGCAAGCTTGACTCGACCCACATGCTTGCACGCTTGAACGCATTGGGAAAGCCAAGTCGGAAAAGGCTACCAATCATCGACGATACAGGGAAATGAGTCTGAGACACAACACCCAATGCGTTTGAGGCACAGTGAAAAAGAGGCCTCCATCTTCCTGCAGATGTAGATTGACAATCGATGTATTCGTAGGGATTGTTGCATTCGTCTACCCATCTGCTGTAACGTGTTGCAACATCGAATTATCAGCGGCTTCCCAGCTCGCAATATGGAGTAGCAGTGCAGTGTGTGTTTACGACTAATAACAGGCGTTTGAGCCTTTTCATCACTTTTGCATTCAGCCAGCAATCTTTGTTCGTAACAACTTCAGCCAGGACTTTGGACCAGGGCTGAATGTCACCCCATGAAGCAGGCTTGCGATGTCGGAACACGATGCTGATCGCGAAAGTCACAAATACAGGGAGTACGACTGGGGCATCTGGTCGCTCGGCCCTTTCCAAGTTGGAGAGATAATGTATGGGGATCGAAGATCTATACCGGATCAAGAACGACTTGTTTTTCCGAGATGCTTTGCCTCAGTGGAACCCTTAAATTGCGGAGCAAGCTTGACGCGATGGATGCTTTTATCATTGTGAAGGAATATATCCATGTCAGCGTTGCATCGAGGGCTGAAAGCATGCGGGCACCGGAACACATATAAGATGTGCCCTGGAATCAAAGGTGAGAGATTATAAGTGTGTCTCCAAGTTCCAACTGATTGGACTTAATTCACTCGCAATATCTCCTACCAGCTCATTCACTCGTTCACTACCGAAAGATGAAGGCCACTTTCCTTGCAGTGGGACTGCTTGCAGTGTCGCAGCAAGTTGTCGCCGTTGTCGATAGCTTCACACCAGCAGATTTCGACTGGAACAGCCAAGTTGGTGAGTAAGACCCTCATGGCGGCCTGACTCTTCTATCCCCATTACCGGGACCTTCTGAAGAATCTCCTAACGAGGTGTAGGTCGCTATGGTGTTGCGATGCAGAACATGACGACAACACGTGCTCCCACCAAAGAGATGGTCGTCTTCGCAGCTAACGTTCACAACATCACCGAGTTGGATCTTGCGCGAGCCCAGCTTCTGGGCATCGAACTCTCGGTGTCAGCCATCTTAAGGGGTGTTGGTTGGGCCACTGGCCTCGGAGGCGTTGTTTCCACAGCTCTTGGGTGCTACGAGGTGATTGCTGCTGCGTATGGTGGTTTGCAGTCTACCGCAATATCAAAAGCGAGTTGTATCATCGGCGCAGCCAGCGGGTTGATCAGCCTGGGCGGTGAGTATTCTGGAGAAATGTCCATCAATCCGCACAATCGTTGACGACATGTTCCAGGCTCGGGCGTGGCTTTCTATCTCGCGCAAAGAGCGGACTGGGCTGCCGCCAGAGTGACCACAATCGCACACAGCGCACCACTTCTACCAGATCCCAGCAGCACATTCGGGCAAAGCTTTGCGGAGAGTATTGAAATGCACGGATTCCGTGGACTAGGGCGCCGCGAAGATCATCCATGGAAGCGTGACTTGCAAGGCAGGGGTCTTTCGAACGAAGAGGAGTGGGACCAGTACTTCCACAACCACGTAACCGCAGCAATGATCCGGAATGCAAACTTCGGGCACTCAGAGTTCCTGGGCTACGCCAATGACAAGCATCAGCTGAGCAAGCGTGACGGTGTTCACGCGTTGGTTCCACGCTTCAAGTTCGAACACCCAAGAGATGGACATGTGGTGTTGTCTACCAAATTCACCAATACAACTTCTCACATCACCATCGAGCCATTCATCGAGGGAAACCCAAACATCCACAAAAGATGGCAGGAACAGTACCGCAAGGAAGTTATCGAAGATGGTAGGCTGCTCGAGGGTCGCTTTGATCATGAGGTAAGCTCACATGCCCAGTGCTCCCTCCGTATACCCCAGCTATAACCTCCTTGCACTGTATCCACTTGTTTAGTTCAAGCCTGGTTGAGCGGGTGAAATCCATGTACTGACAAATGACCGGACAGGCCGCTATAGCTGATYCAGCATGGCAAGACATTACTGTTGATGAGAACGCAATGTTCCAGATGGCCGAGGACAGCTTGCACTGCACCCTTGGCGCCAACGTCGATGATGGCTGGTCATTGGACCAAGTCCTTGACGTACAGATGTATGACAATACCAACCGAGCGACCTTTGGTTATGCCACTCTAGGCGTCTTTCAGGATTCCGCCCCTGAAAACGATTTGAGCGATACTATGCCACAGCCTCCGATCACTGGCGGCTGCTAAAGGAAAATTCACGAAGAAGGGCGTGCGGAGGATAGAGGTGTGCGGTCTTGTCTGCCTTAGCTCTCTTCGCGATAGTTTGACCAGTCTCGGTGTGTGCGTCGGAAAGCTGTCGTTGCCGTCTAAGCGGCCTAGATAGTACAAAAGTGTAGGTGTAATTAATATGTTCTAAAACGCGGCGTTCACGCGTATAAACTCAAACACACCTCAAGTAGGCGCAGTCACTTTACTATTCATAGTATGGAGGTTGCAGCGAAGCAGCAAATATAGATGTTAGTAGTAGATGCTCCCCACTAAAATCTGCTTCATTTGACATCTACCTTGGAAGAGCATTCTCCATTGACAATTCCAACTCGATTCGGTAGGTCGACGATGCCTCCTTCCTACGCGCTGACCGAAATGAACGATGTCCAGTCAGAGCGCTGTTCTTTCCCCGTGGGAATAGATGACAAAATCGAGTTCATCGACGCTCAGCAGAACAAGACTGCTGGCACATTCATCAACCCAGGCTTGCTAGATATTGACGTCTACGAGCCGGACGGTCCTGCTGAGATCTCATGGATCTACTTCGGAGGCAACTGGCAAGAAGGGCCATCTCCTGGCCACCCACTTGACCAGGCCCTCAATGATACTACGCTCTTCACTCTTGACTTTGTAAAAGACAACGACACGGAAACGGTGATTAAAGAAGTGATGCGTAAGTCTAGATTTGGCTAGCAGATGTAACTTCGCTAACGATTCTTCCCAGCATCGACGAATGCGACCCCTTGTTTTTTTTTTTTGAAAAGGCAGCGGACCTGTCCACGAATCGAATAGTCACGGACTGGTCCTCGAGCGGTTCGACCTCTCGTGCAAGTACCAATTCTTGGGTAGCATGACATACCCCTGGCATATACCGAAGGATTTAGACGACTCTGAATACCGCCTAAGGCTCTCGACAGATATCTCATCAAGCACGCAGATTAGTGGCAGGTTCCAGGTTTCGGACGAGACGCATGCCTACTCGCTGGCCAAAACGTCGTCGGATATAAGCGGCATTTGGGAGAGGCATAGCGTGGGCATCGCGGCGGCTGTACTGGTCGTGATGACGATGGCATCTTGCGTGGTTTCGCTACTTCGAAAGAGGTCTAACTGAGTCAGGCTTATATAAAGGACGTAGAAGGCAATGTAGTCGAAGGATAAGACAATTTGCGAACTCATCTGAAAGCATGTAATCATCGATGTGTATGTGTAGATCGTTTTAGACATACACCACAAGTAAGCTCTCCCGAATGGCTCGCGGTACCTTTATACAGATCTATTTCAGTGGCCAGTACTCCCCCGGAAAACACTCATCCGCAAACTTTTCCACCGAGAAGGATATGTTGCGGTCCTGACAAAGAGAATCTAGCTTCTCCTGCGTCGATCTCGTGACATCATCGCAGCCGCTTTGGTGGAAGACAAGAGCGAACCTCGAAGACTCCGGCCCTGACCTGCATACCACCATCGCATCCAAAAGGCTCGTGAAGACGGGTAACAAGCTCGCGTCGTCCCATGTAGGCTGGTAGTTGCAGCCGTTCTCAGCCAGATGATCAGTCAAAGTTAGCGACCGCAATGATCTGGGAAGAAAGGCATGCCAGTCATAACTTGAGGCATCYTTGGCTTCGCGGCCGAGAAGCGACATGTACGGTATCGATAGCGTATGCAGGTGTCCCATGATCGACAAGTTATTGAGATGTCGGTCCGGCAGTCCATGACCATGTTCGAGGCCACCCTCCCGGAAGTACTGATTGGCACATATGTATGTCTGACCAGCAACAAGTTCCTCCAAGGTATCCTTTAGTTGGTAAAGGGACCTGTAGAGCAGTTCTAGCCCAATGTCCGGTCGATCATCAGGATTTCTCCGACGTGAGACACGCCACCAGTCTGTATTTACTGAAGCCAGGTACTCAAGATACCGGAGTTTGGGCATTGCAGAGAACAAGTCTTCCAAGCAAGACTCTTGCTCCTGGCAGTGGTGGAGAGTCAGGCTTGTGATCGAGGTCGCACGTAAACCATTGGTGATCCCTGGAGCCAAAGTCATGGCGACCGATAGCGCTTCGATGTTTGGTGCCGACAACGGCATGAGTGCCGCATGGTCCCAGGCCTGGGATATATCGAATTGCTCTTGAGGCTGCTCGGTTAACAAGTCAAAGCATAACCGGCAAGTCCGCAAGTTCTTCAAGCTTCCGAAGTCTCCAGTCTTGGCCTTAGCTTCAAACGTATCGGTAATTTCGGGACACTCAAGGTAAACAGAGCTAATGCTTAGGTCCTCGAGTTGAGAGCACAAGCTGATGATGTTCAAGCACAGCTTCGGCAAAGCGTCTTGGATAGACAATGATTGAATCGTCGCGAAGCAAGCGTCAGTCAACTTGCATAGTAATTCAATCTCCCGCGGTGTGAAAGCAGGCAGCTCTATAACTGTTTCAGCGGGATTATTTGCTTGAGAAGTGTCTTGCTTCCATGACAGCAGTAGGTCACCACTCAAGACGAGCGATCGGACGCATGCAGCCGCCGTCGTGTTCGTGAGCAAGGTCCGAAGAAGCAGAGCCGTTTTGCGTCCACAGTCCGCATGTCTGCCGAAATCGAGTTGGATGTCATGGTAAACTAGTGGGATCGCATACTCATTCAATTTCTTGGACACCTTGCTTAGTTTTTGAATGACGGACTTGTCGAGGTAGCTCGCAATGATATTGGTGACCAAGACAGGAAGTCCTCGTAGCCTGCATAAGCTGTACACGAGGACGTTGATGTGATGTTGGGTATTTTGCATTATGCTACAGCAAAGCGGGATTTGTAGTTGATGGAAGCTGAGGAGAGAGTGATACAGCACAGGTTGAAGTGATGTGATGCATACAGTGTAGAAGGTGGTGAGCTGTCTACGCGTGAAAAAAGGGTGGTGTGGTAAACGAGTCATGTACACGTGTCACGTGGTCATGCCATTCATTGGCCCTTGTGGCCTATAATGCAGACAGTTTACGAAAAGAAAAGGAGAAGCAGCAGATTAAGAAAAAGGTTCTAGTGTTGAATTATGTTAGACACAACGAGGATGTACATGGAAGCTTTGCTAGCAACTACTATGCTCCGATTGATGAATGCGGGACCATTGCTACTCCTCCCACATACGCCTAAATATACTATCTGCTTGACCCAACAGATCTCGTGGTGGACCAACTTCAACAATGGACCCCTGGTCAATAATAACAACTTTGTCAAAGTCAACAATAGTCTTCAGACGATGTGCTACCGCAATGACAGTACTAGCCCTGAACTCTTCCTTCACCAAACGGATAATGAACTCTTCTGTTACATCGTCTGTGGAACTGCTTATTTCGTCGAGAACAAGCACTTTTGTCGGACGCAGAAGCGCTCGAGCTATGGCGAACAGCTGCAGTTGGCCTGGAGTCAGGCTCAGGGAATTCATCTCGACGTCTAAGCTACCATTTGCAAGCTCCTGAAGACTAACTTTCTGTAGGGCCATCTTCGCGAGGACAATCGAGCTGCGACCCAAAGGATCCAGGTTGGTGTAGATGCTTCCTGGGTATATGAGAATCTCCTGCGGGATAGCCGTCAATCTTTGGCGCAAGTCCTGCAGTGGCAGAGTCGAAATGTCAATCCCATCAATTTCGATGCTTCCGGTAGATTGGATGTCTAGAAGGCGGAACAGGGCAAGGAGGAGGGAGCTTTTCCCACTGCCGCTTCGGCCGCAAATTCCGACCTTCTCGCCGGCAGAGATGGAAAGTGTTATATCCCTCAGTACCTCTTTGTCGACATTGTACGAAGCAGTCACTTTTTTGAACTCCACGATGCCTTGCGTTGGCCAGAAGCTCGGTGGTGAGACCGTTTCCTTCCCTACGTCTGTAGGCACCGTCTCTACAAAGTTCTTACACCGTGCGACTGCGCCGAGGGAGGTCTCCAACATGGTCCAGGCTTCGATGAGAAATGACAGTTGGGAGCTGAAGCTAATGACCCCGAGGAGGGACACTCCAATTGCTCCGGCAGAGGATGCCGCCGGTATAGTGAGGGCCAATGTTACTACAACTGTAGCTGTTGCTGCTGTAATCAACGAAAGAACCAGGTTCAGCCATCTTTGAATGCTGAGCATCAAATAGAAAGATCGTTGTGATCTATCAAGCAGACGTTTGCATTCTTGGAAGCATGAATGTTGCCAGCCGAAGGCGCGGATGGACGTAACTCCGTCTGGGGTGATTGTGTCCCTGCAGTGAGTAAGAAGCGGCGCCAGAGCTTCCAACTCTAAGAATCTCAACTGTCGCGATGTCCGTAGATAGATCCGCTGAACCAGATAAATGGCTATGAAGGCGAAGACGAGTGCCGCTGGTGAGTACCGTGAACCGATGAAGATAAGCACAGCGGCAACGATACAAAGCGCAGTACCGTCGCAGAACTGCATAAACGATACAATCAATTCGGACTCAATGATCGACATGTCGGTCGAAAACCGGTTCAAAGTTACACCCGGATCGGTTTCGATGAAGAACTTGTAGGTAGCCCTCATCACTGCTTTTAAAAGCTGCTTGTGTAGCCGTGCAGAGCTTGAAGATGCRGCAACAACGGTCAGGATCCAGATCAGAGCGCCCTGTGCGGCACATGCGATGAAGGCAAGGAGGAAGGMAACGCCGATATAATGCCCGAGAGAATGGTGAGTGGTTGTGGTACCGCCCTCCGCTTCTGCCCACCATTTGAACCAGATGTCGGCAAACTTCTCTCCAAACGCGCAAGTTGCAGCGGCAACCGCCGCAAAAAGGCAAGGCCAAAGTCCGATGAATTTCAAGTAGTAGTAATAGACTGCTCTATCTCCAGTGCGTCGAGCCAGATCTTGTTCCGCTAGGGCTGCCTCCGCTGGCATTGATGGAGTTGTCATTTCCCGTGAGCTATGTGTGGTTTCCCCTGAGATGTCCTCCGTGTCCTTCTCTTCGCTAATGAGCGGAAGTTGACTGACATATCCGGCGTTGATGCGAAGTTGTTCGTACGTCCCTTGCTCGGCGATCGTTCCATCGATGCAAGAAACCACAAAGTCGACCTCTGATAGGAATTGTACCGAGTGAGTAGCCATGACTACAGTAATACCACGGGCTTTACACAGACCAAGCGGACCGAAGACTCTTGTGAAAAGTTGCCGTGAGGTGTTTGCATCGAGTCCCCGGAATATATCGTCTACAACTAGGACCCTGTTATCGGAGTAAAGAGCTCGAGCGAGTGCCACTCGTTGCCGTTGGCCGCCACTCAATGCCCCAACCATAGTAATATGTCCTTTGTCGAGTCTTTCAACGTCAGGAACGAGCACACAAGCGCTGACGACGGTGTGGTACCATTGGATGTCAAGCGTGGTATGCTGGACGATAGTATCCCGGACAGTCTCGTTAGGAAGCCAGGGTTCTTGAGAGCAATAAGCGAATTTCGCCTCGGGAGATGCATCGCGATGGCCTTCAGATAAATCCAAGTCACCAATGAGAGCTTTGAGCAGGGTCGACTTTCCACAGCCAACTGGTCCGATGATCACAGTCATCTGGCCTTGCCGAATGTTCAACGTTATGTTTCGCAGGACTGGTTTATCCTCTGCTCCCGCTTCGACCGACGCATTTCGCAACCGTACAATGTATGGGGCTTCAGAAAGACTCGAGTGGGGAATTGAAGGCTTCAGATCCTTCAACGATATGTCTTCCTGGCTGTCAGAATTCTCAACATTCGCCTTCGTTTGCGGCGACAGAGTTCTCCGATGCAAGAAAGCCTCCACGCGGTCTAGACTAGCCATTGCTGTGAGGAACTGTGGGAATGCATGCATGAGTTCCATTGTTGGCAAAGTGAGCAAGGCGACCAGGGCCAAAGTTGTGAAGGCTGAAGTGGTATTCAGAGCTTCTCTCCCGTTCACAAAGGTCAATATCGTCAAAGTCAGCGGTGGCGCAAATTGGACAGGAATCACGCCCAGTACGTTCCTCCATGCCACGTAGACCCTATACTGAGCCATCTTAGCAAGCTCTAGCTCGCGCAGATGCTGGATTCGCTCGATGAAGTAATCCTCAAGACCAAGCATCTTGAATGCCTTCGGTAGGCCGAGTACAGCTGATGTGTAACTGACGCGCTCAGAAACGTGGGCAAGCCATTCCTTTTGCATTTCCACCCCCCACCTAGACCCTAGCAAGCCAAATCCAGTCAGAGAAACAACAAGTACCACCGTAGCAACGGCGGGGACTCCGACTTGGAGTTGAAGAAGGTAGATGGCCACTCCAATCTCGATAGGGGCTGCAAAAAGTTGATCCAGGTTCTTCAACGAAGTGCAGATTCGAGTGACATCAGCAGTCACCAAAGCCAGAATTGCGCCATCCCTCAAGCTGTAAGAATCCATGCGCATCGCATTAGCATATAGCGCAGCTATCAGGCCACTGCGTAGTCTAGTCAGCAGGCGATGCAGCCCACGCTGATACATGGCCTTTGTGATGGCTACTCCAATGTAGATGCATGCGGTAGCCGCAATCAATCCCCGTGCACGGTTGGTGTCGCTGTCCGTATCGATGCCATGGTGGAGCAGTGTCGTAATCCGTGCTATGAGCAATGGTTGCGATAGCTTAAAAGCACTCAGGCAGAGTCGAGGCACTACAATGCCGAGCAAATCCAATCTCGCGGTGGAGAGGAGAACACGCCAGAGGACTCTTCCTTTCGTGGCAGAGCGCTTCCTCCACTCAGCTTCAAACGACGCATACACCACTTCAGAGTTGAGATCAGCCTCAACATTGGGCAGCTTGTCGGTGTTGAGCAAGTCTTTATAGCCAGCCAAGAGTAGCTTATTGATCCACCATACCGTCGACCTCGCGTAAAGATTCGCCAGATCCTCCGGTGCTGCGTGCAGAAATCGGGCGGAGGAAATCAACTTCTGTTTGCCGTGCGCCTCAAGAAAGAGAATGATAGCTTTCAGAGCGATCCCAACGGTAAAGAGTGCTGGAAGTACCCTCGAACCCGGGCGTAGGAATAACGTTCGCGCCTGTGGTACATCCAGTAAGATCGAAAGAAGTATCCATCCATTAATGACAGTACTGGGGCGAATCGACCTTTCATGCTCAAGGCTGGACAGATGGAGCAGGGACAAACATGCCAGAAAAGAGAGTGCCACAGCAGGAATTGAGGCTCGCGTCCGATTTGAACAGGGAAGAGTCCAGCAGACTAGCAGTGCTAGTTGGGTAAGAGACTGCAGTGTAATTGCCGTTTGTTTAGCGACGAGTGCTGCCGTGCGCTGGACCTTGACATCTTGTCGGTATAAGTGTGCCGCGCGTAGAGGGGCCGCTATGAGCAGAAGGACGGCGGGAGCAGACTGAAGCACTGTTTGCTCAAAGAGAAGGGTAAAGTCGAAACCTTGCCGACATCCTCCTGTGACTGCTGGTCCAAAGGTATCATCAAGCTCTGGCGGGCACGACATCATTCAGCGTTGCTGGAAAACCTAAGCTAAATGGATGCCATACGCTGTCTCCGGAATGGACACTTGGTTAGGCAGTGTACCGCCGCTGAAGGCTGTAACAAGATTTGCCAATCGCTACTACACAGAGTCTGTCATGCATACAGGAGTATTCCGATTCCCATCAACAAATTTAGGCCAATAGGAGCCGTAGGTGAGTGAGCTTTTCACGCACATTGGCGGTGAGGTTCCTTGCAATCTTTTCGGTCATTTCGGTATGCATGACAGACTCTGTATGCCTAGGTCATTGAAAGGAGAATCATCACAGCCGGCATAGGCCCACTGACAGTGGCCGGGATTCTGACTACCCCCGCTGATTTCTCGTGATGGCTTCAAGCAAAAGATGCCGCCGCGAGGAAGTAGCACCAGCACCTGTAAGGAGAGGATTTGATGTCATCCTCACCTGATCAGACCAGGTCATCTTCAGACCAGGATGAATCGACCATGGTAGCGCAAATGCTTCGTAAATGTGTCGATGCGAAGTGGGCCCGAGAGTGATGGGAATGTTTGTTCGGTAGAAGGTGTTTTTCCCGGCACAACGTGGAAAACGTGAGGTGGTTTCCTCGGGCCTTTCAGAGTCGCAGGGTTTAGGAAGGTTAGCGGTACGAGCTAAGGTATACTTTAATGCAATGTCTCTATGAGGGTTTGGAAGCTCGAATTCTATTCCCCCAAGGCTCCAAGCCTCCCACTGTCTTTTCTTTATGAAGATGCAAGGTCCACGCCACGCCTCTTGTGAAGATTGATGACTTCATTGATTGCCTAGCTACGAATGAATGGCAGTCCCTATGTATATCCACTAGCYCAATATTTGGAAGGTTCCACATCACCAATCAAGTGAATGAATCATTCCAAGTGAATGTTCTCGAATCTTCAGCACTTCTTTTTGACGTTCTTTGAGGTGAGATGAATAGCGCAGTATCCTTGTCTGATCCCGGTCGCTGAAACAATTCGAATGAAAGTTGAAATCATTCCAAAATCAAATGGCGACCAATGGTGCTCGGCGCTATTCATCTCAACCTCAAGCACGTTGACAGCAAGGAACCTGAGTACGAGGGCAGAAGATTCGGCCCCGATGCTCAAACACCGCATCTATTGCGAACAAACTGATCTGAAGTTCTGGAACTGTCCAACTCTGTCGTGATATACAACACTGCGATGATTTCGAGTATTGTAGCTCTATCCAGCTTAAGGAGTCACGTCACCCACACACAAGTTCGATAATCTAGTCAGACTCCATATTGGTCTCAGTATGCTTGAGTCTGCGGTAACACTGTGTGGCGAAGCAAACTTGAGCTTTCCTGCTCTCGAGGACTAATTCACCTGACCTCTTCGAAGAGCTAATGCCTCGCGTCGGCTGATTGACTGCGGGTCATAAAATGGCCTTTCGCCCACCGACGTCACGCGTTGGGCTAAACGCACACCTTGATAGTCACTTGAGGTTGTCAGGCTCGTTCAATGGTAGCAACCACGTCGTCGTTACACTTACAATGTGGCCGAGTGAAAAGTGGAACGGCTAAAAGCGACATGTCAGTCATGGTTACACGCAGCGGTATGGAAAGGGGGTTGGCGTACTTGTCCCAGATCGCAACATCATTGACCGACCATCGCCATCGGACTTGTAGATCGTGGTTTTGCGCGATCAACTGCAAGACTGCCCGGGTGATAACAAGTCAGCGCGCGCATGTCAATCAGCTGTACTGTTCACCATGACTTACAGAACGATTTCAGAAGTTCGCTTTCGACAGACCGCATACCATCGATCCAACCATCGCCAATCTGGCCGGCAGCCCCGTACAATGATTTCCAGCCGGTCACAGGGTTGGTACGGACAACGGGACTTTGCTCGGGCACATTCAGCATGCTTCTCAACTGTCTCCTAACTGACTCTTTTGCTGACTTACTGTGAGACTGTGAATTCGAGGCCCTTGTTTTCAGGAGAACCGCGATCTCGATCAAGCATCAGACTGGGGTCTTTCTTCGCAATGTCAATCAACACATTGTCTCGATGAGTGGCAGTGAGTTGTTCGGCAAATCGCTTCCAAGGCGCAGACATTCTGTCATAAACTTCGTAGCCCGACGCCCAGAGAGTGTCGCCACCCACTTCGCCCGTGCTGGGTAATTGCAGCATCTTGAAGGCAGCGTAGTCGGAAGGCACTTGCTCAGTACTGATATCAGCATGCCAACCTTCGCTTGCTAATCGATCAACTTCTTCGTGGAAAAATTGAGAAGCGGTCTATGTGGTATTAGTGAGCTTGTCATGATAAGGGTGGACGAGAGGACCTTGGAAACATGCCTTGTTTGAGATGACACTTATCTCATCGTCGAGCGTTTTGTTGTCATTCTCATCACCTCGCTTACTGTTGCTCAGAGCATGTCTGTGCAGCTAGACGGACATCRACATTGCGTCGTTCTCATGTCATTCAAGACTGTACTGGTACCTTTGAAGTCTCTGGTTTCCCACTCAACTCGCCCAGCTTTTGAGCGAGAACTTTCATACCTGCGGCGTCCAGAGACTGATTACGGAAAAACACGACGTTCCGCTCGGAGACAGTAATGGCCAGGTCGCGCAACATCGCATCGTTGTCGAGCATGTCCAGCAGCTGCGCTTTGGGAAACTCTCGACCAATCACAGGAGTGACGTCGTGCCATTCGAGATTTTCCAGGGCTGTGGAAAGCGAGAGAGGACCCCTTTTGGACATGGTGGTGTCGATTTCGATTGCGTGTGGGAGAGTTTACGGTTGCGGCTGTTGCTGTCTCTGATGAGAGACACAGGACGAGCGTCTCTGAGCAGATCATACAAACGCTCCTTTCGGGGCGTAGTATCCCATGGCAGGTGTGGAAAGCGCCCGATGCCAGGACAAGGGCCACATCATGTAAGAAGGTTTGGTCTGACTTTCGGGCCACTTGGAGTCCGCGACAACCCGAGTCACGAGGGATAATGTCCTGACAATCATGCCTTCCAGTCTGAAGCCATACAAACATTAGGAATGCTTATCAGTAATTCTAGGCTGGTGGTCCTTATCAGTCTCTCTGGGTCCCTGCCAGTCTTGTATACAAAGTAGTTGATCAAGTTGTCGTGAACAGTATGTCAGCTCTCTGCCCATTGCGCCAACGTCGTCCTGTTGTGAGCTTCTCGTTCGAGCCAGGATTTCCAAGCCAACACCAGTTCGTAGCATGAAGTTCCTTGCCATATCGTGGCCGGCAGGATGGACAACGGAGCCTTCCGCTTTTGCGACGTTCCTGCTGATCTTCATTGCGACCACCGCACTCGCTCTGCCAACTGCACAAGAGGAACGTCTGGAGAAGTGGGGATCAAGCGTAGGTTCATTCCTCCACGATGATGAAGCTTCGAAAAGATGCGAAACTCATGATACTAGCAGTGGGCATTCTCTGGTATCCCAACATTCGGACATCTTCCACACGCCCAATGCTTGATCAGTCCCGAGACACAATTCGACATCGCCATCGTGGGCGCTCCATTCGACTCCGGCGCTACGTATCGTCCAGGTATCGTTACTCCTTCACCGCATGTAGCTTGTCTCCCTCTGAYTAACAATGGAATTAGGTGCGAGGCTTGGCCCTCGTGCCATTCGAGCTGCGTCGTGCAGACACGTGAGCTCCAGGGGCTTCAATCCAGTGGTCGGAATCAATCCTTACACATCTCCTCTACGTGTCATGGATTGCGAGTAGGTTTGCTGGGTTGGTCTCCGGAATGTTGACAGTTAATGATGATTTTGATCGAGCAGTGACATCCCTATTGACCCGACCGACGGCACCGCAGGATTGGAGCAAATGACCGAAGCAGTCACAGACTTGCTGGCCCGACAGCCGGCGTCTTCTGACATCGAGTTTCCCCGACTGATCGTCCTTGGGGGCGATCATCTGATTTCGCTGCCCGTGTTACGGGCCATACGGTCCATCTACGGCTCCCCGATCCGAGTGCTGCATTTTGACTCACACCTAGACACCTTAAGCCCTGCCGTATACCCCAGCACGCAGGCCTCCCCGCAGTCCCATTACAACCACGGGACGGTATTCTGGCACGCTGCAGCAGAGGGGCTCCTCGATGACTCGGGATCCGTGCACGTAGGAACAAACACCCGGCTTTCAGGCGACAACTGGTCTGATTACGACGTCGACGACGCCGCAGGCTTTGTTCGCATCCCGGCGACTGCTATCGACGACCAGGGCTCCGCGGGCATCATCCGAACGATCAAAGACCTTCTTCCCGATGGTACCCGGATCTACTTGAGCATTGATATCGATGTCTTAGACCCGGCATTTGCCCCTGGCACTGGTGCACCCGAGCCAGGCGGGTGGAGTACTCGCGAGCTACTTAGTGTCTTGCGGGGAGTACTTCCAGGCCTCGATGTCATCGCTGCAGACGTTGTTGAGGTCGCACCCGCCTATGATAACCCCGGCGGTGACACTGCCTTTGCAGCTGCTGGACTTGTCTATGAGGTCATCTCCGCAATGGTGGCAGGAATCGTTACCAACACGACAAGGCCCACGTCCGGACCCCTGGACGGGCTTTCGGACACTTCGAGGGTTGAGCTTTGATCGTGTGAGATATGATCTGTGACAGTGTGGCGCCACTCGCGGAAGATTCCATTGCTGATGGCCTGTTCGGTATATCTCCAGAGGTGGATTTTCAGCTAGTCATTAGTAACTTGAACACCGGTTACCGAAGGGCCGTATTGGGTTCACATCACCTCTTGAGCAATTTTTGCGAAGCGAACCCCTACATGCGTGTGTTATTAAAATTTACAGACTCCGCATGGTAAGATCCATCAAATGTCACCATGGTATGTTACTCGACAACAGCGAGATGACGAGTGATACCAACCTCCGTCTGATCACTCTTAACAATCTTGGTTCAGAGGGTCGTTAGGGCTAGTTGACAACGATCGGACATATTCGAGAAGAACCCTCCGAACTAGCCCTAATCCCCGAGAGACGGGACTGTATAAACTTCAGGCTCTTGGGATTAGGGGAAAGAATTAGCCGTCTCGCCTGTTATAAAGCTATTACTAAATTAAGGTGAAGTACGTAGATAACACTAATTAGCATATAGGTAAAAACTCTGCATCTAAGATGCGGCTATATCGTCTAATCCTTAGTTATTTATAGATTACGTGCTAGAATTATAACACTCCCCCTTCTAGTAATATTATATATATTTATATAAAGGATTAGAAGCTATTATCGGCTTTAGCAGCTAGATACTACTATATATGCTTAATACACACGTTATATATAATTATACGTATGTTTTAGGTCCCTATAACTTAATATATATACCTAAGTTCTTTCTAACGCTTCTATAAGAGGCCTCCTTCTTTTAAACTTAACTATTATCTATACTATAATATCCTTTATATTAATCCGCCTTATATTATATCTAAACACTTAATTAATTATCTATTAGAACACTTAATTAAGCATCTATTAAGACGTTTATTATATTTATAGTAATTAACCGTAGAGGTAGTTATATAGCTACTAGTATAGGTAGTAGTAGTAGTAGTAGTAGTAGTAGTCTACTAAAGAAGAATCCTAGCCGTACTAGTTACTAGGCTACTAGTACTTCCTAGAGAGAGAAGCTACTAGAGAAGGTTTAGAATATTCTAAAAGATCTTATTACCTATAAGTATGCTTTAGATATAAAGGGCAGGATTATTATTCCCCTATCGCATTTTAACCGTTACTTTATTAAGAGCCTTAATAGAGCCTATAAGGAGGGCCGTAGTAGTAGTCTTAGCTTAGTAGCTATTTTTAAGGATATCTTAAAGAATCCTCTAGCTATCTAGTAGATAGATAAGCTTACTAGTAGAAAGCCTAAGTTTAAGGTTGTTACTTAGCCTCGTTTAGCTACTCCTAGTACCCTTAGCTCCGGATCTAAGAAGCCTATAGTTAATATTAGTAGTAGCAATAATTACTACCCGACTATTACTACTTCTTTAGTTCGTAGTACTTAGATTAATAATGTTATATATAACTCCTATACTAGCCGTAGTAATACTATCTTTAATAGCTGCATTACTATTAAGGGCCTATTTAAGGGAGCTTACCTAAAGTGTACTATTAATAATTATTACGAGTACTGCAACTTTAGCACTTATAAGCCTACTCTAAGAAATACTTGCAACCGTACTAAGTTTAATGCTCGTGTTACTTAGAATCTAGATAAGGCTAAGATATCTAAGGCTCCCGATAATCCTCTAGCTATTACCTACCGTAACCGTCCTCTCCTACTAATATATAATAGTAATAGTAGACCTCTCTTTTAGGTATTGCCCTTCTAGTCGCCTACTACTCTTAGAAGCCCTACTAGAAATGTATACCCTTATAATAATCGCTACCCGATTAACTTCTTAAGATTTCTTCCTACTCTAGGCGCTAGTAGTTATTATAGAATAGCTATAGTTAACTTTAACTACCTATTAGCTTCTAACCGAGAGTAGTAGAGAGCCTATATAAGAGCTGCACTATAGAATATCCTAAAGAACTTTACCTAGATATAGGATGCTAGTATAGCATTTAACCCTAGTAAGATTCGTGCCCGTCGGGATAAGGATACTCCTAATAATAATAATACTAAGATAACCTAAGAGTAGTTAGGATTAAGAGCTATAAGCTCTAGGAGGTAATAGGAAGCCTAAGAGTAGCTAGTTAGTAAATTTCTAGTAGTCTTKCTATAAGTTTAGATAGCTAATATAGTTCCTAATAGTGTTTTTGCTTCGATAAATAAAATAGGGTAGTAATAACTATAGTTATTATAAAGGAAAAGTTTTATAGGTCTACTAGGGACTATATAATTGCATTAGGGGACTTTAGCTTTATTAGTGCATTAGCTAGCTACTTAGAAGTATTTATATATTCTACTTTAATGTTTCTAAGATTATGTTATTCCCTATAATAGTAATTTCTTACTAAAATGTATCGTAACCTTCTAGAGTTTAAGTAATTCTTAACTAGGCTAATAGCTAACTAGTTATTAACTCTAATAAGGATAGTCTTAACTTTCTGCTAGGTAATTAAGCTAATCTTATTAAGAAGCTCCCTAAGCT